TTGAATTTCTGCAATCTTTTGTGATTGCTTCAAAATTCAATTTTTTTTAGTGTTTTTAACTAAAATTCTTCTATAAATCCATTATTTTTAATAATTAATTAAATGTATATATTGGCAAATTTAACTAATTTTAGAAGATTTTGAATTTCCAAGAATATAACCGAACTTGAAATTAGTGAGCTAATTTTACAACTCAAAGTATAATGTACTCTAGAATATTTATGTAGATGAAAATTGACATGTGATTGTGTGTATATGGATTTCATTTCCGGACTATAAACGATATGGGTGTCTGATCGACGATACGTTTCTGATACTAGACATCGATGCTTCATGGATATGTAGTACATACGTTCTACGTGACCAAGTTGTCTGTACATGTAGATTGTATATATACTCGCACGTGTAAGCGCGTATTTTGTCCCTCCTTATAATACTCTACTCGACAGTAATACAAGGCAGAAGCGTTAGGTTAACCGTTATCTCAACTCGTCCCTATACCGCACGACCAGAAATTATACAGAAACAAGTCCAGACAAAAATGTATAAAAGAATTTTCTTTTCTTTTTTCTTTTTCCATGAAAAGAGAAAAAAAGATAAAAATCCGCCCAACTAAGGAAAATCGAAAAAAAAATTATCACAAATATCCAATAAAAAAAAGAAGAAAACGAAATTAACATACAAATATCCAACTAGGACGGAGAATAATCAGAATTATCACAAATATGCAATAAAGAAGGAAAAGAACCAAAATTAGTGAATTATTAATTCGATAGTAATTCAATATTAATTGTTGTCCTTATTAATTGTCCCTATTCTAAAAAGAAAGAAAAAAGACAAAATTATTAATTTTTAATTGTAAATAATTAAATAACAAAAATAATTCAATTGTTAATTCAATAATATAAATTATTTAGTATCAAGAAATAAATTTTCACAAAAATACAATAAAGAAAGAAAGAAATCTAAAATAATAAACATTAATAAGTTATAAACTAATTAATATTCAGTAATATTAATTATTATAATTATCAATTATCAAGAAAAAAATTATCACAAATATCCAATTAAGAAAGAAAACAACAAAATTATACCAAATTAAAGAATTACTACTTGAATTAATTCAATAATATTAAGCACCAATTATAAAAAAAATTTCACAAATACCAATTACAGAAAAAACCAAAATTATCCCAAATATCGAATTAAGATAAACTTCAAATAATTTCAAAAACAATTCATAATTAACTTTTTTCAACAAAAATTAATTCTACAGAATTGTTAGTTAAAAGTATGAAAAATACAAATTTTCAAAGATTTTAATTTAAAATCTTTTCAAAATACAATTATTTTCAAAAATTCATACTATAATGCTTTTAATATTCAATTATTATCTAAAATTTTGACTGAAATTCATTTTTAAATCAATTTTTATTGGAAAATTCGACGAAAATTCAATTATTTAAATACGAAAAAAAAATTTATTCAATAATTGAATGTTTCTCAAAATTGAATTCTCATAAAAAATGTTTATCAACAAATTTTTATGTAATTGAATTCTTAATAAAATTTTTAATAATAATGTTGAAATAAATTTTTCTAGAAAGCCATATAATTAAAATAATAAAGATCAATAAATTAAATACGAAAAACAAAAAAAAGTTTAAAAAATTTGTTTAAGAATTATTAATTTTTAAAAATAATTACATTTTCCGAAAAATTTAATTAAAATTTAATTAAAAATAATTGTAATTCTACGATGAATTTTATTATTTATGATAAATAATTTGTTAATAATTAAATTCATGTGAAATTTTTATTATATATGAAAATAATTAAATTTTTTGCGTAAAATTTTATTAACCTTTTTTTAAATACATAATTAAATTCTTTTGGAAAATTTTTGAAAATAATTGAAATTTATGTCAAGAATTTTATTAAAATTTTGAAAATAATTGAATTTCGGAGAAGAATTTTTGAACATAATTAAATTTCTGCAAAGATTTTCATTATATTTTTGATAATAATTGAATTTCTGCAATCATTTGTAACTTCTCCTAAAATCAATTTTTTAGTGTTTTTAACTAAAATTCTTCTAGAAATCCATTATTTTTAATAATTAAGTAATTATATTAATATATATTAAAAAATGTTAATATAATTTCAGAAGAATTTGAGTTATTAAAATTTTTCAAAAATCTTAGTTATTTTAAAATTTCTAATTAATTCATTCAAAATTGAAATTTTATAAAATTTCAAATTAAAATCGTTTGAAGTTCATGTATTTATGAAAATTGTAAACGCAACTCTTTTAAAATTAATTAATTTTAAAATATTTAGTGTAATTATATTCATGAAATAATTCATTCATCCATTCATTAAATAATAATATTAATAATTAATAATAATAATGAAATTAATTTAATTAATAATTTATTTATTTATTAAATATTTAAATTATTGTCAGAAACAGAAAAATTTGAAGGTTTTGTTTAATTATAAATAATTTTTTCCAATACTTTTAATAAAAATTTCTGTCTTTTCCCAGACCAATTCTACTTTCTCTGACTTTTCTCTCAATTCCCTGACCTGTGTCAACCCTGTATGAAGTATCAAGAAATAAATTTTCTCAAAAATCTAATGGAAAAAGAAAGAAATCTAAAATTATCAAAACTATTAAGTTATGAACTAAATTAATTTAATAAGATATTAACTAATAGTTTTTAATTATCAAAAAAAAAAAATTATCGCAAATATTATTTAGTGAAAAAACCAAAATTATTATCACAAATAATATCGAATTAAGGAAGAAAAGAACAAAATTACCAAAGTATATTTACTTCAATTAATTCAATAATATCAAGCACTAATTATCAAGAAAAAAATTATCACAAATATCCAATAAGGAAAGAAAAAACCAAGAAGAAGATATTTCAACCATAAACGAACTAAATAGAGAAGGAAAAATTACTTTCCATTAAATTAATTAAAATTAATAATAATGAAAAAAATCATAAAAGTTGGAAAAAAATTTCTCTCTCAACAGAAATGTGAGTTAATTTTTTTTCTACAAAATAACAATTCTATCTGATGTGTCACACTAGAAGAAAAACTTGAAAGAAAATTCAAACTATTTTTATTAAAAATAGAATAAATAATAGAGAGAATGTTACCATGCCTACAAAATACGATTATATACATATATTGCAAAAAAATGTATAATATTCAAAGGAAAGAATTCAACTCCATGTATAATCCACTGTCCAACACTTTTTCTCTCGCTCTATACATACAATAGGCCATGTATAATAAAATTACCATATTTTTTTTGCCCTCTGAAAAAAAGTTTTTCTTTTGTAAATTATGGTATATATATTTGAGAGATGAAAATTTCACTCACATAAAACAAATTGAATTAATTAAAAATTTTAACTTCATTATTGGAAATATTTTCAGGAAAATTTTGATTATACACCTACACACAAACGCATACAGAGAAATAACCTAAAAGTTCGAGAGGTTTTGAAGCTGTCATTAAACCTTCTCTCTCAAACTCCGAACAATGGTTACGTCACTTTCGTAAAGTGAAATTGTCGCTGTTCATAAAAGTAATTATAACTGTGGTATAACAACCAGTTACAATACGAGGAGTGTTCAAACTTTGAGGTAGCCTCTTTCATTGAGATTCAAAAGACATTATTTTTCATTTTAATCGCCTTTCGCGCGTCTTCACTTTTTTTTTTCTTCTTCTTCTTATTATTATTATTATTCCATTTAATATAGAAAATTTCAATTATTTATATTAGAAAATAAAACAAACTATTAAAAAGGTTATAGAATTCAGCGGTTTTAAATTTTTTTCACGTCTTTCTTTGGGGGAAAAATTCAATTAGAAATAAATCAAGTTAAAATTACATAAATTCATTAAAATTTTAACAGCGTCTTATAAAGTTCTCAAGGAAGTAAATCTCAAGAAGTGAGAATACTATAGATTATATAGTAGAGATGTTAAGGAACTCATGTGTGAGAAATTTTTTTCATTTTTTTACACGTTTTACTTATAATTCACCGAACACGTAAAAATTTGATCACTAATCATAAATTTACATATAATTTACTTCCTTTCTCAAAAATATAAAACTTCACGATGAGAATGAATAATGAACTTGGTCATTAATAATCGCAATATCAAAATTTACTTCTCCAAAAAGGTAATATAATAAAAAAGTTATAAACTTTTCAAAAGTTCGTTTTTAAATATGTCCATTGACATTTTTCATTTTCAAAACAATTACAGTATTTAATTAATTCAATAATTCATCTTAATTATTCTCTGTACACCAAATTGCAATTAATTATGGTACATAAATTTCTCGCTGGTTTCATAATTGTTAAACATTACCATTTGAAACTTAGGTCCTTAAAAAAAAATTTTTTTATATAATAGTCTTTTTTGTAATAAAAAGTTTTTTATTTTGTTATAAAATTTAAAAAGTATTTTTATCTCAACAAATATTTTTAATTAAAGAAAACGTCAATCGAAAAAATATCCAAATATGAAACTAAAAATATTTAAGGTTTTTTTCTCGGAATGAATGAAAACAAAAAAACAAAACAGTAGACTAACAATGTTCTTTAAAGGGCTAAGAAGAATACTTTTATGAATAGAAAAAAAATTAGATATGAAAGGAAAGGAGACCTAATTAAAATGTCATTTGTTGCAACAAAAAAAATAATTGCAAGAAGCATTGAGATCTTTTGCAACAAACATTTAATTGACGGAAAAAATATATAACTACACTGCGTTCTTGTCAGTTGTAAACGTTGTAAATTCCCACCTTTGTCTATAGTCTAGATATAAAATTTTCGCACAAACACGCAATAATACACAACCGTGGAATAATTATATATTTTATAAAGTGATGAAAGAGTTGAGAGCAACTCATGTTAAATCTAGGTTAGAAATATTGAAATACCATTGAGAGAGAGAAAAAACTCACCGTTTGCTGAAAACTTCTCCGTTCCTAGACAGCATCTTTGACTCCGTCCCTTGACGTTTCCCACAAGGTCACACACCGCACTCAAGTCACTTCATATAACAAGTCATGTCACACTACTTTTCTAACTTCCGATCACGAAAAAAAAATTTCGTTAAAAAACAAAAACAAAGAATTTATCACTTATACTCCCGATTTGACCCAATATTTAGAAAATTAAACTTTTTGTCTTTAACACACCGGATTTTCACCAAAACACAAAAAAATTCACTTTTTTGAAAAAACAATTTAAGAATTCATCTTTTTCACGAAAAGGTGAATCTAACCTCGAATTCCTCGCTTTTGTCTGGGAAACACAAGTTGTAGCGTCGTCGTCGTCGTACGGTATCCAACAATTAACCGTTCGAAGGATGTCACACACTAATCAAGATTCATTTCGTTCTTCGGTCCAGATTGAATTTTCCAAAACTTTGCAGTCGAATGTTCAATGCTTGGGGTGGTGGCGCGCGTTTCACCGGGGATGTTGTCACCCCAATGGACCGAATTCATGTAAAGCAAAAGGCGCCCAAAGGTGTGCGAATTGTGTGTATGGAGAGTTCCTAGGAGAACCTTATCGTGTGCGCAAGAACACAACACACCACAGCCCAACGGACAAACTTGTGAAAGGAAAGGAGAATGACGACGAGAGTCTCTCTTGCCTTCAAACACCGGGCACGAATATGGGCCTCGACTGCGGGGTGAGGTAGTAGGTGGGCTCAGCACTTTCCTCTTCTCGTCGTTATTTCAAAGTTCTCTCAAACCCGGCACTCAACCGTACTCGGTTGCATGTTGCTTGCATTCATCGCATACCCGCCTCCATCTCACTGTGTACATGAAACAGACAAGAAAAAAAACAGCTGGTACTTCACAGTTAGTAAGGTGGCAGCACTGTACAGACCTGCATTTTTACAATTCAAATTTTCACCCCCATTTTCCCGCCCTTTTCAATTCCAATGAAAACAAATAGAACGTCAATAAAAAAATGTAAAATATAAAATAAATAAATAAAAATAACAATATAATAAACAAAAAATGTAAAAAAAACAGTAATAAAATTTCATTTTCAATAATAAATAAATATAACAGGATTGACACAAAAAATTAATTTTGTTTGTAAAATTAATCGAAAACAAATAAATTTTTTTTAAATAAATATTTAATAATTTTTATTGTTATTCCATAGGAATTAAGATTTTCAAAAAAACTTTTAATTCAAACCTTTATGAAATTCAAAAACTTATAATAATTTTAATTTCTATAAAATTTTTTTCAAAATAAAATAAAATTATTTACAAAAACTTTAATACTTAAAATCCTTGGCAAGAATTCAATTATTTTCATAAATAATAAAATTCTTTACAGGATTTCAATTATTTTTAAAAAATGTAATAAAAATTCGTTGCAAGAATTCAATTATTTTCATAAATAATAAAATTCTTCACAGGATTTTAATTATTTTAAAAAAGTTTAATAAAATTCGTTTCAAGAATTCAATTATTTTAATAAATAATAAAATTCGTTGCAAGAATTCAATTATTTTAATAAATACAAGATTTCAATTATTTAAAAAAAATGTAATAAAAATTCGTTGCTAGAATTCAATTATTTTCATAAATAATAAAATTCTTCACAGGATTTTAATTATTTTTAAAAAATTTAATAAAAATTCGTTTCAAGAATTCAATTATTTTAATAAATAATAAAATTCGTTGCAAGAATTCAATTATTTTAATAAATACAAGATTTCAATTATTTAAAAAAAATGTAATAAAAATTCGTTGCTAGAATTCAATTATTTTCATAAATAATAAAATTCTTCACACGATTTTAATTATTTTTAAAAAATTTAATAAAATTCGTTGCAAGAATTCAATTATTTTCATAAATAATAAAATTCTTCACAAGACTTCAATTATTTAAAAAAAATGTAATGTAATTTTATTATTTTTAAAGATAATTAAAGTTTTGGCGAGAATTTTTTTTAATTTTTGAACATAATTTATTATCTACAAGAATTTAATTATTTTCATAAATAATAAAATTCCTCACAGGATTTTAATTATTTAAAAAAGATGTAATAAAAATTCGTTGCAAGAATTCAATTATTTTCCAAAATAGTAAAATTCTTCACAGGATTTCAATTCTTTTTAAATAAGTTAATTTTTCGAAAAATGTATTTATTGAAATATTTATTATTTATGAAAATAATTAAATGTTTCTGCAGAATTTTATTAAAATTTTATTTAAATAATTGAAATGTTGCCAAGAATTTTATGAAAATTTTTGAAAATAATTGAATTTTATATTTTTAAAGATAATTGAAATTTTGACAAATATTTTTTTTAATTTTTCAAAATAATTGAATTATTACAATCATTTGTAACTTCTCCAAAATATTAAAGGGAAAAAAGGAAAAAATTACCTAAAATCAGAGTGGAACATTCAGAAATAAATAAATCCACTTGTTAAAAATTACATTTTTCATAGTAAAATTGATCTTTATTACATTAAAAAGAACGTCTTACATATGGCCAGTGTTTAAGGTAAGATACATTTGGATATTACACTAAGCTACTCGCATAACAATTAAGTCATAAAAATAAAATAATTGTTGAACAGAACACAAATCAAACAACATTATCATATATAGTGATAAAAATCAAGAATTAGTATTTATCAACAAAATTGATTATTCCTTAACATTTTTTTTTTTTTTTGCTAATTCTCTCTCTCTCTCTTTTTCTCTCTCTCAAATAACAGAATTTTCTTTCTACAGGCAATTCTTACAAAAAAAGACGTTGAAAGTAAAAAAAATACAAATTCTTGATTAAACACATAAACGCAATCACTATCTTCAGATTATACATATTATAGTTAACAAAAAACTACCATTTTTTTTTATATAAACCAAAAAATTGGTTCACTTTCTCCTTTTTATCAATTTAAAAAAAATTACATCATTTCTTTCTAAATTTACTGGGATATTTTATCATAAAACTCGGTGCAATGTCAATACTGTTACCTTACTTTGCACACGGCTAATTAACTTTTTTTTGTATTTAATTGAAAAATTAATTGAAGACACGTAGTAAATATATGACTATTTTAAAAAAAAAAGAAAAAAAATCGCTTTCTGTTATGCTCTTAAAAAGACAAATGCAAACTTACTCACAAGAGGTGAATTTAAAAAAAAAATGGTATGCGTAGAAAAAGACAAGGCGGCTTTTTTCTTGAAGTGAAGGAGCAGGCATTTAATGTCAACTTTTTTTTCTCAAGTGATAGAAAAATAATTTTTTTTTTAAGAAAGCTATGATTAGAAAAAAAATACATTAAACGTAAAAATCATTAAAGAAGGTAATGAGATATTTTTTCTTTCTTAACGAATGACAAAAATTGGAAAATTTATGTGTCATTTATTTTGAAAACTAAGGCAAAAAAAAGTAACAGAACAGTAAGAGAATCTCTCCCCAGAAATCTTTTCGTCATAATTCATAATAATAATGTGAAACGATGATTTTCTTTTCCTCAGTAAATAGTAATTTTGGCGCACCATGCTATAACGCATCGCACACCAAACTATTCTCCTGACTATAAAAAAAGTCAGTAATTGAATTTTTCAACGCTTCATTTCCTGGTTTTTTTTTCTGCTTCTCACTTTCAACCCTTTTTTTCTCAAATCTTCATTACCTACATTAAATTATATCAATATTTTTTTTTGTCTTACTTAAATAGCTATGTATATATATTTATATATATATTTATCACGCCTGTCTCTCCTTCGAATCAGCAACGTGTAGGTACACTTTGTAACAATTCTATACGTAGGGCCCAAAATTGTCAATAAAGTCGTAGAAACTGCCGGTTATTTCAAAGTTTTTATCGTCACTTGTGTTCAACAAAAAGAAAATTAATAATCGCAGATACATTTTTTATGTCGGGTAAAAAAAAACTGATCTAATTTTTGTCTAAACATAAAAACTGAACAATTTTCTACTTTTGGCTTCTTATCATCGAATCGAATACATTTTTTATGACAAAAATTCAATTATCGGAAAAAACTAATTTTACCATTATCCTTCTTGCCAATATGTTTTTAAATCAAATTAACAAATTTTGTACAAAAACAATTTTCTTGAATTATTAACTGAAATTTACGAATTTAATTGTGAGAATAAAAAAAAAAGATAATTTGTATTTTAGATTTTACAAAAAAAAAAATTATTTTAACCAATGTAATATATAGTATTTTACAACTTTGTTGACACCACTGTCGCTTTGATATTATTTCCGCCTACTTAACATTGAAACTTTTATCTTGGTGATTGTTAATAAATTATGCAGGTTTTTGAGAGCCCTTCTTACCAATAAGCGATTTGTGAATATGAGGAATAACACCTATAACAAATTTAAATTATTGTGAGAAATTTTTGAAAAATTAAATGGATAACAAATTAAAAATGTAACGAATTAAATAGATAATAAAATTAAAATCTCAAAATAAATGCAATCGAAAATGTTTCCAATTTTCCGCATATAAACTTCTGGCAAAGTCTAATCAATTCAAACAGAAAATCTAGACAAAAATTCCACTTATAGTATAATTAGAATTGGAATATAATTACAATACTAAATAGTTGAGAACAATTTTTAATTTGTCGACTTAATTAATGATTTTTAATTAATTAATGATTCACAAGTTTTTAACGTTCAAATGAACGAAAGATTTTAGTATTAAAAATATTTTCAAAAATTACCGATTGCAAAAAGAAATAAAAACTTAAATTAAATATTTAAAAACCTGTTAATTTATTTTTTCGATAGAGACTCAAAATTGTAATAAAAATTTAATGTGAAGAAGAGATAAATAAATTTCATTTAGTCGAACGTTAAGAACTTTAGGATCATTAATTAATGATTCACAAGTTTTGAACGTTCAAATGAAGGGTATTTTTTTCTGAAAAGTAATTTCGTAAATTACTGATTGTAACAAAAATTAAAAACTTAAATTTTAGAAAACTTAATATTTAGAAACTTCATAATTAATTTCTTTTTGTATTGATGCAAAATTGTAATAAAAAAGTTTAATTTGAAGAAGAAACAAATAAATTTCGTTCATCTGAACGTTCAAATATTAAGAATCATAATTCAGAATAATTTCAACAAAATTTGTATAAAATACACGATTTTCAGAATTATTAAAATTCTATGAAACAAGAAAATGATGAAAAACAGATAAAATTAAAAATTATACTTGTGGATTCTAAAAAATAAGAAACTAAAGATAAATATTTCAAGTAAAAAAATATTTAATACAAATTTTTCGGCGAATATTCGCACTCTTCGTTATGGAGCAACAAAATGCAATAATTGAATAATAAAAAACGATTAAAATACCTCCTCCAGCAATAGTAGCCTTAATAAGACTGTCCAATTCTTCGTCTCCACGAATGGCGAGTTGTAAATGTCTTGGTGTGATACGTTTGACTTTCAAGTCTTTGGATGCATTTCCCGCCAACTCCAATACCTGTGAATTTAAAAATTAATTAACAGAAATTCAGAATACAATAATTATTCAACTGAAACTGTGCGAGGAAATAAAAAATGAAACTTAACTCAACATTCGTATCTCTTCAATCGTACAAAAGGCTTCTTTGGTTTATTCAACCAATGGGATTTATGGGGTGTCCAGTCACTCATGGTAAAATGATTTTCAATATTTTTCAAGTGCAGTGTTTGTGTGCAAAAAAAACAACAACAAATCTTCACTGATGTTCAAAATGAAAATTTGGAAAATAATTTTAATTATTTTCGAAAACGAAAAATCACAGTCTTCTGAATTTTTAAAAATCTCACTTTGTTCATTAAATAAAATTCATAAAAAATTACTGTCCATGTCGATAATTGACATTACCGATAATTAAGTTCTTATAAAAATAAATTCGTTTTTATAATTAAATTCAATTTTTTACTCTTCCTTCGAAATAAAAGCAAAAAGTGCTCTTTTCGTAATTTTTTTCTATTGAAAAGAATAAAAATAAAATAACGAAAAGAATAAAAATTTTACGTAAATTGTTTTGAATTTTCGCGGTATGACGGCCATGTTTGTCGTAAGGTAACGACAGTTAACGAAGTTACGCTACACGGTAAATGGTAATTTTGCAGGTTCAATCTTGCATTTTATGTGTATTAAAGAAAATAAATGTCTAATTACTGACCTCAGCTGTGAGATATTCCAAAATAGCGGCACTGTAAACAGCGGCTGTTGCACCCACTCGTCCATGACTAGTAGTCCTGTTTTTCAAATGCCTATGAATCCTACCAACGGGAAACTGAAATCACAACAACAAAAAAATATACCCTGTCAATATATTTTCAGTTTTAAATTTCGTAACGGTTTATATACCAACAGAAGGCATCAACACTACAGTAAGGGCCAATATCTACCAAGTGGAACGTGCGTCAAGCTACTGACCATATAAAAAACATTTGTCAACCCAGCGTCAGCAGCTTTTCTCTCTCTCTCGCCCAATAAAATATTGAACGACGTGTTCCAATATTTATGACACATCTTTTAAAACAATTTCCCATTTCTAAATATTTTTAAATTACAAACAATTTCCAAAAATATTCTAAACTAAATAAAGATTCCGTCAATCTTGAATTAAAACAAAAACACGTCTTTTAATTCACAAAAATAATTAAAATTTCACGAATTTAACTCAAATATTTACTGTCGTGCCAAAGCCTTCTTTTTAATATGAAATAGAAAATCAAAAAAATTATTTAAAACCTTACAATTTTACCATCACTATCAATAGAATCTCGTATAATTTATTCACAATTTTTTTTTATCATTAAATAATTGAACTTCCAAGATAAACACAGTTCAATAAAAACCAAACGTTGATATAATGTTAAGTCATTACTCAAACAATATTTTAAAATTAACGTCAAAATATCGTCTCTCTAGTAAATATAATACAAACTACATTTAACATCGATACTTAATTATTTAAATTGAAACTTTAAACAAATATATATGTAAATTCAAATGGAAGGGGGGAGACGAAATAAAACGTTCCCTGTGTTTGAAAACACAATAGTCCCTTTGGCGTCTCAAGTTAATTTTAATTTACAAATAAAACTACTCCATTAATCTCTCTTCAACTTTAGATCAAAATATTTCTCAATTTATCACAAATTAAAATCAAATAAAAAAAACCCCCCATCAATCTTCCAAACTTACGCAATTTTCAAAAAAATTGTCACAATCACATTGAAAAAAAAGTGAAGGCAGTTTTTCGCGCCAATACCGATTTAACCTTAAAATAATCTGACTCAAAGAGAAAAACCGATTTTAGAGATAATTCTAGACGAGCAGTAAATTTTGTTTAGAAATTTTCTGAATATTCAATAATGAACATAGCGTAATTTGAGATGAAAAACATACCTGCAGGCCGGCCCTTGCTGAACGAGACACCGCTTTTGCCTTTGCCTTTCCCGAGTCTTTGCCCGCTTTACCACCAGCCTGTTCACAAGACGAAAAACCATGTTAATTTTCATGATACAACCACAAAACTTGGTGAGCGTATGCTCCGAATACTGTTGAATCGATTAATACACACGAGAATGTTGGATGCCTTATTAATTAATCGGAATCTCGCGGATACTCACCATTATGCTAAAAGAAGCTTCACAATTGCGTACAGACGAGACAGAGCACACAGCACAAACGACCACAGACGACGCCAATCTAACCAAAATCCCGCCAAATGAGGCTGGCGCTGTTGGCGTCCCGCGGATCAAATCACGTGACCCACATCAACCAATCACAGTCGAGGCAACATTTACGCGGTAAATTTAAATCACAAATTTTAAATTTAAATTTTCTCTTCTCAATTTTGTAAACTAAAACAAAACAAAAATAATAAATGTTAATTAAAACTTAAGAGAAATAATAAAATATAAATAAATTATAAATAAATAAAAATATTTTCATAATGTTCACTAGGGTTGTCAGTTGTTAAAATAAATTTTACCAAAATTCCAATACGAATCTTTATCTAATTTTTATTTTGTACTAGTGAATTTCTACTAATTTGCGATATATTTTCCATTTTTTCTTCAATTATTTATTAAAAATAATTCTAAATTTAATACAAAACAGATTTATTCTGATATTAATTGATTGTTAATAATAATATTAATAACATTTATTAATTTGTTTATTAATAAAATAATTATAATATAAAATTACATTAAAAACTACTACCATTAAGTATTTCTTTTTCTTTCATTTCATTTTTAAATATAAGAATATTTTCAGATTCAAAAAAATTGATAAATTTGAAATATTTAAATATTAAAATTCAAAATCGCCTTAAAATGTAATAAAAATTAAATTTTATGTAAATTTTAAGAAAAACTTTTAAATATAAAATTACATTAACTATTACTACCATTAAGTAATTTGTTTTTAATTTTTTTCTATTTTATTTTTAATTTATTTTTAAATAACAATTTTTTCAGAATTTAAAAAAATGGAAATAAAAAAATGAAAATTTAAAAGCGCCGTAAAAAAAGTAATAAAAAATGTAATTTTATTTAAATTTTCAAAACAAAATTTGTTTAAATTTCAATATTTCATGTATGATGATTTATGGCTTTAGAAAATTTTATTCTGGTTTCTATGGTATTTTCATAGAACAGAATATATACATAAAAGAGTTAAATTACATATATTGCCCGGCCAACACAGCATCCAAGCATCGATCCACTCAGAGTATTCAGGGCACAGGCGAAGGAATATTAAACCCTCCAACCTCCCTTTTACTTGAATTTCAAAATGTTTAAAACATTAAAATTAATTGCATTTTTTATTTTTAAATTCTTCTTAAATTACCTTAATTAATAACTAATAGTTAAGAATTAAAAATTAATTAATTAAAATTAATAATTAAAAATTAAAAATTAATAATTAATAATCAATTATTAATAATCAATGATTAGAAATCTATAATTATAAATCTCATATTAATAATAACGTAGCAAATTATATCTTACGATTCTATATGTATTCAAATTCGATCAGATTAACTATTCGTTAATTTCAATATTTGATTTATCGATAATCGATATTTATAAATATTTGGTTATCATTAAATTCTCTTCTTAATATCTCATTTGATGAATTAAACAAAATTTGAAGAATTATTAAAATTTAATTTATTAATAAAAAATTCCAAAATTTTAATAACGATTCACAAGAAAAATTAAGATTTTGTTTGGAAGAATTTCAATAGAATATTTCATTTTGATAACAATTCTTCAAAATTTATCTACTTGATAGTAATTTACGAAATTTATTATTTCATATTTTATTGTAAAAACTCATTATAAGGCACGTTTGGTTTTTCGTTCTTTTCTTTTTAAAAAAAAAGTGAAAATAGAAATAATTCTCAATTAATGAAAGGACAAGTGAAAAGATTTTGGTTTATAGGAAACAGAATTGGTACTTACAAAAAAAAAAGGAAAATTAGAAAAGGAGATGCTGTGTTATGGTGTTCATGTTAAAATGAAAACTGTTCTAAAAGTTTTGTAGAATTGTAATAATGGCAGTTTGCTCAGTTTCGTCTTTGGCTGATCTGATCTTTCTGATTCTGACCGTAACATCTCACATTAGACTTCTATTTATTGCTCTTCAGTAGCATCTGCTAATTCATCGCATTTATCCACCAAGTCACTCTGAAATTAAAGAAAAATATTAATTTAAAAAAAAAATTTTTAATGGTTTTTTTTTATTTCTATTTTAATATTTTTTTTTATACTGTGCAGAATATTTTTCCCTTTTTTTCCTGTTAAGAATTAACAGGGATCAGTGATTTTTCTCGGTAATATTAGGTGAAAAAGGAGAATTTTAATTTTCAAAAATGACATTTATTTAAAAAAAAAATTTTCAATGTAAGTAAAAAATTAATCTTTTTTTTAAATTTTTTTCGTAATCTATAATTTTTTTATTTCTCATTACAATTTTTACTAAAACGCTACTTTTGTTTTAAAATTCCATGAATTTTACTACATCCGAAGTAAATTTAAGTAAAAATTAGTCAAATTTACTTAGGATTTGATAGAATTTCCCCCAAAAATAGTAAAAAATGTACTATTAAAAATTCTTATTTCCAAAATAACTAGTTTACTATTTCCGAATAAAATTTCTTTGTAAAAATAAGAGAAATCTTTTTCAGAAGTGGTAAAATTTACTCTGACAATAATAATTTTTAATAACAAATTGTACTACGATCCAAAAAAATTAAAAAAATTTTTATACAAAAATTAACTGTGAAAATAATAAAATTTAACATTGTAAATCGTTATACCCAAAATAAATTTTATAAAATCGAAAGTAAATTTTAGTAAAAATTAGTAAACTTTATTTCAGACGCTTAATAAAATTTCCTCCAAAAATAGTAAAAATTTAAAACAAAAATTAACTGCGGATAATGTAAATCTTGTTGTTAAAAATAGTTATTTCCAGAGTAAATACCACAATATAAGTAAATTTTAATAAAAATTAGTAAAATTTATTTCGGACTTGGAGAAATTTTCTTTCAAAATATTAAACAAAAATTTATTACTCATCTGTGTTAATTTTCAGATCAACTTTTACTATTTCCAAAGGAAATTTATTTATAGAAATCAGAAAAAATGACTTTAGAAATAGTAAAATTTACTCTAAAATGAATAATTTTTGATAACAAATCATTTTACATTGGAATAAGAATTAAAAAATTTTCATACAAAACTTAATTGTCGAAATTTAGTCAAATTTGTTCTTAAAAATAATGATTTTCAGAATAAATTTTAATAAAAATTAGTAAAAATTTACTTCGGACTTGATACAATTTCATTCAAAAATAGTAAAATTTAATATTAAAAATTATTTCCAGAATAAATTAGGTACTATTTAATAAATTGAATTAATTAAAAAAATTACTATTTTCGAAGACAATTTGTTTGATAAAAATTAGAAAAATTTACTTCAAAAGTAGCAAAAAAAGGGGATTAGATAAAAAAAAAGTTACCCTGTGATCCCTGTAATTATTTTCTTATCTGTATATTTTTTGGGATTGTGATTAATTATACTGAAAAATAATCAATTTTACCTCGTCAAGTTGAAGACATTTTCCCCATTCGGTGAGATTAATTTTGTGATCGTCATTAACATCGCATGAATCAAGGAAAGGGGCAATGCAATGTTCAAGTGCCATTAAGGGTGCTCTAATTGGGAAAAGTTCATGTCGTGAAACAGTTCTATCATGTGGATGACCATCGAGATCGCACCACTTCCAAATGGCGGCATTTGTCCAACGTAGTGTGTGATTTGTTTCCGCTTCTCTTTGCATTTTCAAATAATGTGACGGAAGTTCCTGACGATCGGCCAAATCTCGCATAATATTGAAAAGCCAGTCACGCATTCGCCTTGGAAAATCAAGCATATCTTCTTCCTTGCAAGCCTGCGATAAATTTTACAAGAAAATGAAACTTACTCTTTAAGTAAAATTCATAAATGCGATAATAAACATTTTATTTTAACACGAAATTTAATTCAATAATAATAAATAATTCAAAGTAAAATATAAAATCCGAAAGAAAAGAATACAAATAAATAAATATATAAAAAAAATGAAGGAAAAGAAAATAGATAAATAAATGATAAGAAATAAATAAATAAAAGGAAATGAAAACATAAATAGATGAAAAGGAATAAAAAAAATTTTTTTATTAAAAGAGAATAGAATGAGAAGCTTACGGGCATTTGACGACATTCGCCGTAATATTCAATATGAATATGCTGATAATCAGGACCACGACATCTTGAATCTCCAGTATCGCAAAAGCAACGAGCTTGATAAACTTCGCAGTCACTGCCAAAGGTTTCGTTGTAATTTGTGCAAACTTTACGTCTGGGATCGATTTCCTCATCACATTGCTCTATGCAAACACATTCTCCTGCTCCCTCTTCTGTTATCTAAAAAAAATCATGTTTTTTTTAGAATATTTACTTACAATTATCACTGAATCAATAAATTTAAAATCCACTGATTTTTATAAAGTAAAATATCCTTTTAATAAATTAAAACTCTTTCAAGAAATTAAAATATTATTTTAATGAACTAAAACGGTTTTTAAGAAATTTTAGAGACTAAACTCCGCAACGTTTTTAAAAACGAAAAATTAGAAAAGAATTTTTTTCTCAACTTAATTCATTTCTAATTTTGATAAACTCAAATTTTTAAAGAATTAACTTTTTCTTATTATAAATAATTTAAATTTAAATTTCAAACCAATAAAATAAATACCGTCTTCATATTTTTTCTTTTTAAAAACGTTGCAAACTTCAGTCACATTTGAAATATTATTTTAAAGAACTTAAAACTTTTAATAAATTTTGAATTGCTTTAATAAATTTAAATTATTCTAATAAATTAGAATCTTTTTTTGTAGATATTTAATAAAAACGGGGACAAACTTTGCAAACTCGTCCAGCACCACAGTGCTTGTCGAGACAAGGATCCACTTGAAGCGGCATCGCCCTAATTCGACTATCATCATCCTTAGCCATAGATCTTTCAGCGTCCTCGACTAATTCATCTGCCTCGAGCATATTCATCATCTCATCCTGTAGAGTTGGCTTTTGTGTCGTTGTTCGACGACGACTGTTTCGTCTTCCCTATAATTTACCAAAATTAACTTCAACTCAAATTCATCAACTGCATAATAAAAATTATTCCATTGTAATTCTAAATTCAATTCTATTTTTCCAAACGCATAAACAAAAAATCAAAAATATAAAAATCCTCTTAAACAATTATTTATTCTTATTAAATAAAAAAAAATGAGAAATTACGTACTTCAGAAACAAAAAATCAGATAATTTGAAATTAAATTCAAAAGAAAAAGAAAATACTCAGTAGTAATTAAACATTTTCAACAATTTTATATTAATTCTCAATAAATGAAAACTTTTAACGATTTTATATTTAAAAAAAAGAAATTCCTCAAATTCTCAATAATTGCAATTTTTTAAAAATTAAAAATTTTTTAAATTAAATAAAATTTTAAACTAAATGTAAATAAATCCTAAAAATTCCCAATAATTGAAAATTTTTAACAATTTTAAATTAAAAAATGTAAATAAATTCAAAAAATTCCCAATAATTGGATATTTTTAACAATTTAAAATTTTTAAAAATAAATAAATCCTAAAATTCTTAATATAATTGAAACTTTATAATGATTTTAAATTAAAAAAATATAAATCTTAAAAATTTGCAATAATTAAAACTTTTAATAATTAAATAAATAAATCCTCAAATTTTCAATAACTATTGAAATTTATTAACAATTTTGAATTTAAAAAGAATAAATAAAATATTCTCAATGATTGAAAATTTTTAACAATTTTAAACTAAATATAAATAAATCCTAAAAGTTCTCAATAATTGAACATTTTCAACAATTTTAAATTAAATAATGTAAATAAATTCAAAAAATTCCCAATAATTGAAACTTTATAATAATTTTAAATTAAAAAAAAAATAAATCCTAAAGATTTGCAATAATTGAAACTTTTAATAATTAAAATGTTTTTAAAAACAAATAAAATTTCTCAATAAATGAAAATTTTTTACAATTTTAATTTTTTAAAAAATCAATCCTCAAATTTTCAATAATTATTGAAATTTACTAACAATTTTCAATTTTAAAAAATAATTAAAATTCTCAATAAATGAAAATGTTTAACGATTTTATATTTAAAAAAATTAAACCTAAAAATTATCTATTGAAAATTTTTAACAATTTTATATTAAAAAGAAAAATAAATCCTCAAATTCTCAATAATTGAAATTTTTTATCAATTTTAATTAAAAAAAACAAATAAAATTTTCAATAACAGAAAATTTTTAACGATTTTATATATATTAAAAAAAAGAATTTCTCAAATTCTTAATAATTAAAATTTTTTAACAATTAAAAATTTTTTAAATTAAATAAAATTCACAATAATTGAAAATTTTTAACAATTTTAAATTAAAAATATAAATAAATCCTAAAAATTCCCAATAATTGAAATTTTTTAACAATTTTATATTAAAAATGCAAATAAATCCAAAAAATTCCCAATAATTGAAAATGTTTACCAATTTTAAATTAAAAAGAAAAGTAAATAAATCCAAAAATTCTCAATAATTGAAAATTTTTGACAATTACCTCGGAAGAATCAAGAGCCAGTAGAGCAAAAAGAACAAATCCGATAATGACCAATTGGAATTTCGACCTCATTGTGATGCACTGAAACATGAAATGAACTAATATTAATTACTGAAAGGGAATACGTATAATGTGCAATCTATTCGACTGCATTCAACAGTACTCTTCCGCGTAGTTAACAAATTATTTGTATATTGCTATTTAACGAGACTACGCTCTCTTTCTGGACCACTGAATGGGGCCATTTATCGATATTATTAATTCGCTTTTAATGAATTTGCGTCTATGACCGTAATTTTTGCAACATTTTTCCTTTCTCTCTCTCTACATATAAATTTTTCTTTTTTTCTAATAATTAAAATCTCCGAACAGATCCAATTCGGAGATCACTGACAATTTAGGGTCACCACACCAGAGATGATAAATCTTGAATCGTCATAATGAGCACAACGAACAGATAACCCAATTCCAAGAAAATGTTTAGTTCGCAGAAAAAATGGAGAAATAAAAACTTACAATAATTGACATAGAAAAAATTCTCTTTGTATAATTAATTTAATTATCAATTAATTATAATTAATTAATTATTATTAGAAAATAATAGAAAGTGATAATAATCCACAAACTTATAAATCCCCTAAGTGGCTCTAATAATTTACGAATTATTATTTTTTTCAATTTTAAATTGAAGGAATACCTGAAGAGAATTTTGCGTTAATGATTTATATCGAACAGACGGTATTTTTTCTCCCTCCGGACGCGCGTGGGTTTAATCCTAGAAAAAATGGGATACTTTTCGCTATTGATGGGTATCGGTGTTTATTTTCAGTCAAGATTTGTATTGTGCATCAGAAAAACTAGTGACGAAACATATGTGAACCATTTTTTCTTGATCAAAAAAGCAAAAGGATTTTAATCATTGCAGATAAATCAATTGAAATTGTTTTTTTTTCTGGTATTCAAATACAAATGAATAAAAATTCGACAAAAATTTTCTCTTTTACTGTCTGATTCAAAAAAAATTTGGGAAAAAATAGAAAATAAATTCTTTTGAAATTATAATTATTTTAAATAATTTTTAATCAAATTTTCCAAGTAGAGGAAATAGCGTCAAAAATTTGATTACAGAACAAATCTGTAATAGGAGTTAGTGAACCTTGTTTTAGGGCATTTAACTACACATCCGGTGTAGAATTATAGATTGGAACATGGCCAACTAAATCCAGTAATACGAGTTAAATTTTTAAGTCTGCATTTCTGTTTCTATTTTCAACTTTATTTTCTAGAAGGAAAAGTTTAATTTTTCCGTTGTAGATAAATTTTAATTTACTCTACTTGTCATTTTTAATTTGTTATTTTCCATAAAAGGGAAGAGTTATTTTGGAAATTATCGATTCTATTTAATATGAAGGCCTCGGGTCGACTTTAAGGTGCAAAAAAAGTTGCTTTAGTCGATTAAAAATAGAAAAAAATTTGAAAAATTCATTTATTTAATTCAGTGTTGTCACTAAAATTTAATTTTGTATTTCCCTGATGAGCTTTCAAAATTCAATTATTCAAAAACTAATAATTTCGTTAAATAAATATTGAAATACTTCTTATACTTTGTTTTTCCTCGGGAAATAAAATTTAAAAAATTTCAAAACCTTCTGAAATTACAAATATAGTTTATAAAAATTATAACTTCCAAAATTCAATTATTTTCTGCAATTTTTGAATAAACTTCGTCTCTAAATCAATTATTTTTAATGTTTCTCCGAAAGTTCTTCGAGAATTTAATTATTTAAATACAAAAATTCAATTTTTTATAATAATTTATAATTTATTGTAGAGTTATTAAGGTATAATATTTTCAAAAATTTTGGTAAAAACTTTAAAAATAACCGAATTTTTGAAAAGATAATAATTGAGTCTTAAAAAATTATGTTAAAAAAATTCTGAAAATTAATTTTTTGAAATATTATAATGTAATTTTTCGAAAATAATTAAATTTCTTAAAAGAATTTTTGTATAATTTTGAAAAACCAATTATTTTTTTGAAGAATTTTAATTAGAAATTTTCAAAATGATTGTTTTCGCCAAAAAGGTTAAAAATAATTTTAAAACATTTTAATTTCAGTTTTTTTTGTATTGCATTTGAATTTTCGGAAATATTTAATTGAAAATATTGAAAATAATTGAATTTTAAAAAATTAGAATGCAAAAATTCTAAAAATTACTTTTATCAAAAATATTTTAATATAATTTTTAGCAGCTAATTTTCATTAATTTTCATTTTTTAATTTACATTTCAAGATTTTTCATTCAAATTTTTGAGAATTCAATTATTTTCAAAATTTGCAATTAAAATTCTTCAAAAGTTGATTTTTAAAAATTGTAATAAAATACTTTGAAAAAAAGGAATTAATTTCAATTAAATTTTACAAAATTTCAATTATTCAAAATCTGTTTAATTGTATATTTTGAAAATTTAATTAGAGAAATTATTCAAAAATAATTTAATTTGATAGATTTGTCTATAATTATTTGTGAAACTAAAAAATCGAAATAACTTGCAGTTTATACTGAAAATTTGGTATTTTTTTGTATATTTTGCAACATTTAAAGGAAATGTCGAAAAAATTGAAAATTTTGAAAATAAGTCGAAAAAAATCGCATTTTTTGCAAATAGTGGAGAAAAGTCGAAAAAATCGTAATATCCGAGATCTGAACAGCAATAAAGAGAAAAATATTAAAATCTACAATGAAAAATAATTTGTAAATATTAATGAAATAGAAAATGAAGAACAAGATTCGATTTAAATTCGAAATATATCAGTGAAAAGAGGGAAAAATTATTTGCCATCTAGTCTTGTTAAAAAGTCCAGAATCGAAACACGTCTTTCGACATTTACGTGTATAATATTAACAATGACACATAAAGCATTTATGTCATTTTGAACGATGATGATGATGTATCCAATCATTTCAAACTTGCAATGTTCATCAACAACCTACACGTAATCCTTCCTGAGGAATATTAAGCCGTGAAAAGTTGAGGCAAATCGTCGTGAATATATGATCGTAGGACGCAGAATCGAGAACGCAAACCAGGGAAATGAACATTCGCTGTACGTTCTGCGTCCTGACAGGGTTTCATCCCACGCACTCCCCGGGTTAGTTCGCTGCTGATCACGTGTCCTCTCTCTCTCTCTCTTTTTCTTTCTCTCTTTCTCTATATCTCGCGTAGCAATACAATTTACAGAAAATCCAATGTAAAATTAACGCATATTCTCTCTTGCAACTACAGACTTTTATCGTATTATAAGAGAGGACTACTTTTTTATGTTTATATAAACCGCAGAGCATTACTAAATTCTCTCTTTTATAGACCATCACACGTACCTATATATACGAACATAAACGTACAAGTATATTAATTTTAGAAATTTCGCCGGAAATTTTCAATCATTTCTAATTTGAACTGAAACTCTCAATTTTGTAATTTACTCAAAACTTTTCCATTCCATGGAATGGAAACTAAAAATAATAATAACCATTTTTTTCATCTTTCTCCCAAATGGAAATTGTTAATTTCAAATAAAACTATAACTGCAGAATCTTTTTTTTTTTAATAAGGGAATTTTAATTAAATCTTCATTTAATTTTCGAAAGAAATTTTTAATTCCAAAGTAAATAATAGTTTAGGAAGAAAAAAGAAAGAAATAAGTAAATTAAATTTCTGTTCAATTTGGATTTATTGCTAGGGAGTAGAGCAAAATTATAAATTATGAAAAAGAAAAAGATAATTACGAAGAAGTAAAAAATAGTTATAAAGAAGTAAAAAATAGAAAAAATTCAAAAATAATACAAAAACCTTACGAAAAAAATAAAAAAAGTAAAAATTCAAGAATAATACAAAAACCTTAGGGAAAAAATAAAAAAAAGTTAAAATACAAAAATAATACAAAAACCTTGGGAAAAAAATAAAAAAAGTAAAAGTACAAAAATAATACAAAAACCTTAGGAAAAAAATACAAAATAGTAAAATAGAAAAATAATATAAAAACTAACAGAAAGAAAAATACAAAAAATAGAAAAAAAAATACATGTTATTAAATTTCAAACAAATTTTTCCTCGAAATGACAGAAAAAAGTAGAACACCATCACAAGGGAGGAAGATGAAAACAGTGTCAGATTTATGGATAAGTTTTGAACTTCCGTTTTCAGTGGCATGGTTTTTTTTCTCTGTTTGAACTGATAGATTTGATACTTGAAGGGAATGAAAATACATAAACTTCCCATACAACTGGTTGTTTAGATAAGAAAAGGAAACGCCCACAAAACTGAGATCATATGCACAAGTAGTGCAGGGATTCACTTCCTGTTTCTTGTAACCCTGCTGGTCTTTTTCTTTCTTTCTTTTTTTTTTTTGTTTTAAATATAAAGCGTTCATTTACGCTTTCTTAATGAATACCCATTTTATAATTTTCAATAAAAACACACGAGTAACCTCTGATCCTTCCCCACAGCCTCTGAATGTTCAGAATCTAACATTAGCTTCTATAAACAAAGAGAAAATTTTTGTTCATTGTGAAAAATCAAACCGCATTCTTCTGGAAATTGAATCGGTTACATTTTTATAATTACACATTTTTACTTGGAAATTTAAATTTCATGATTCAATTTGAATTTATGCAATAGTTTACTTAATATAAATTCAATTATTTAAATGCAATTCTATTGTTTAATAAATTTCTGAATATTTAATTGAAATTCTATTATTTAAACGAAATTCTAAATATTTAATCGAAATTCTATTATTTAATCGAAATTCCATATTTTATAAAAATTCAATTGTATTATCGAAATTCTATTATTTACATCTATTGTTTCATCAAAATTCTATTATTTAATCAAAATTCCTTATAAAAATTCTAAATATTTAATTGAATTCTATTATTTTTTCAAAATTCTTTATCGAAATTGAAAATATTCAATCGAAATTCTATATTTAATCGAAATTCTATTGTTGACTCTAAATTCTCAATATTTAATCAAAATTCTATTATTTGAACCTATTGTTTCATTAAAATTCTATTATTTAAACGAAATTCAATTATTTAATCAAAATTCCTTATAAAAATTCTAAATATTTAATTGAATTCTACTATTTTTTCAAAATTCTTAATCGAAATTGAAAATATTCAATCTAAATTCTAAATATTTAATCTAAATTCTAAATATTTAATCAAAATTCTAAATATTTAATCAAAATTCTATTATTTAAACTTATTGTTCCATCAAAATTCTATTATTTAAACGAAATTCTGTTATTTAATCAAAATTCTTAATAGAAATTTTAAATATTTAATTGAATTCTACTATTTTTCCAAAATTCTTTATCGAAATTGAAAATATTCAATCGAAATTCTATATTTAATTAAAATTCTATTGTTGACTCTAAATTCTCAATATTTAATCGAAATTCTATTATTTAATCGAGATTCTATTATTTAAACGAAATTCTGTTATTTAATCAAAATTCTTAATAGAAATTTAAAATATTTAATTGAATTCTACTATTTTTTCAAAATTCTTTATCGAAATTGAAAATATTCAATCGAAATTCTATATTTAATCAAAATTCTATTGTTGACTCTAAATTCTCAATATTTAATCGAAATTCTATTATTTAATCGAGATTCTATTATTTAAACAAAATTCAATTATTTAATCAAAATTCCTTATAAAAATTCTAAATATTTAATCAAAATTCTATTGTTGAATCTAAACTCTAAATATTTAATCAAAATTCTATTGTTGAATCTAAATTCTAAATATTTAATCAAAATTCTATTATTTAATCGAAGTTTTATTGTTTGAACTTATTGTTTCATCGAAATTCTATTATTCAATCAAAATTCTAAATATTTAAACAAATTCTACTATTTTTTGATAAAACAATCAGTTTCAAAAATAAATAGTTTTTTCACGAAAATTTTCGATCAAAAACGAAAAATAATTCAGAAAAATTTTTCAATATTAACAGAAAATTCTTCGTCGGAAATATTTTTTATACCAAAAAAGAACTACCTACATGTAAACAATAAAAATTATTCGTCAATATTCTTAAAAGTTTTTTTGTATCCAAAATATCAAAAAGATTCATTTTTCACTAGAATTGAAATTATTTGAAACTATTTGAAACAATTTGAAACAATTTGAAACAATTTGAAACAATTTGAATCTAATTGAAGCAATTTGAAACTATTGAAACTATTTGAAACATTCCATTAAAATTAATGAAATTAACGCAAGTAAAACTATAAAAAAAAATGCCAATTTTCGATTAATATTGATCGATTTTCAATATAAAGAATTTAATAAAATATATAAACTCACAGTGGTCGGTTCTCCAGTTTACTGATTAAATTGTTCCTTGTGTGTGTCCAGCTTCTCGTTTGCTTTACTCGCGGCGAACGAAAAAGAAGAAAATCATCCGAAACGGTCAGTGGACCGGTACTGACTGTAGATTCTGAGTTCAGTTAATATGTCTCGAAGTCTTTTCTGCTTCAAGATGATCTCATCAGTCCTTCCAACCCCAGTTTGATCTTTTTGCCACATGCGCTCCATGCTTATCGTTTTTCCTTTTTTTAAAACTCAATATATAACAATATATATTTATTGCTTACGTCTTACGCAACAAGTCGTTGATGTTCAATGACAATTAAACACACAATCGGCGATGAGCTTCTTCATTGTTTTATTTTCCATCCATAAAGGGAACTGCCATTCTTTTTAAATCTGCGAAAAAAATTTCTAATTAGTCAATTTTCTTATTTAATTTTTAATAAATTTTTTAATTCCGTAAATTCATGCAGAAGAATTTTTTTTAGCTTCAATTACAATTAATAAATGATTAAAAATATTGTTTACAAATAATAATTTAAATTTTACAAAAGAAAAAGCACTTATCAAAGAAAGTATTGCAAATTATCAGAAAAAATAATTTTTGGAAATTCCAATAGAGAAATTAATAGAAAATTATTAAATAAATTACATAATTGTCACTCACCTATTTGTGAAATTTTTTACATGCTCCTTAATTATACAAAATTAAATTCTTTAAAAAAAATTAATTATTACAAATTTTTACAAAATACGAGTAAAAAATAACAAGTTATAAATTTTAAATCACTTTTTAAATTATATCGAAAATTTACAAATATAAACCAAAACAACAGTTTCCGCTTTTTTTCTATACAAAAACAGGAAAAAAACACATATTATAAAAATTGTGAAAAGAAAATTCGTAATAAATTAATGATTAGAAGTTAAAAAAGGGATTTAAAAACAAAAACTTGGCACATCAGAAAAATGGGGGACCCGGTTGTCTTGTAAAATGAGAGAATTTAATTACGGGTTGTAATAAGGTAGATATATTATACTAAATGCAAAAAGTTACAATACATTTGACGTATGTCGGTTTCTTTCATGTTTTTTTTTTCTTCTTTTTTTACTTTAACATTATATTTTTTTTTTATCGCAGTAACGTTGTCCACGGTTGTACACAAAAATTAAAAATGTATGCTACAAAAATTCACAACTTAATTATCGTCATTCTCTAATTTAATAATTGTTCTAATAATAATCATTATCCATTATTTGTGTTTCTTTTTCCTGTTGCTTTCGTTCATATAGTTAATATTATAATTATTATTTTTAAGAGATATTACTTAATAGTCACTTAAAAAAGAAAACATTCACACTAAAAATTTACTGAGTTTTTTTTTTTATCTTTTCTTGTAGTCGACGATTTCGCATCGCAGGATTATAATTTTTCTCTTTATTTTCATCAAAACCCCCCTTAAATTTATTTTAATTGAAAAACTTTTGCACCTCTCTTCCGACTAGTAAAAGATAAGCGTTTTCCATAATTCCATTCTTCCCATTTTTCCCCAATCCTCCATTCATTAATCCAACTAAAGTTCTAGAAAAGATTTTTTTTTCTCCTAAAAGTTAGAAAAAAAATGAAATTAAATTGTAAATGCAAATCTATTCACAGAATTTCTTTGCATTAGATTTTTGTGCACTTATTTTTCTTTTTAATAAACCGATATTTTTTAAATTCATTGAATAAAACAAAATAGTTTTACTAAAATTTAATACAAATAATAAAAACAAAATAAGAATAATATTAAAAATAATAATATTAATAATAATAATAATAATAATATTAATAATAATAATAGTAAAACAAATTCTACAAAAACGTCATTTCTTTTATCCAATCATTGAGATCGATTTGAAAAAATGTACACACAAATCTATTGTTCTTCGAGAATTTAAATATTCATCAATGAACGATATATACGCGAGTTTTCTAAAAATAAACAAAAACAATTTACAAAAAAAAAAAAAAATTAAAAATTAAAAAAATTAAACTTAACAGCTGACAATAAAGTAAGCCTTAGACCTATGATACTTGCGCTCTCATTCTCTCACTCTCGCTCTCTATTTGTAACAAAAATCAATTAATTAAGCGTACATAGATCTGGCAACTATTCGTATATATTTATATATAATATAAAGTATCAAGAGAAGCGTTTTTTTTTTAACAAGAATTGTCAGAAAGATGTGCACAAAAAAAAAATACTCCATACGATGCGAAAACGTTCATTAAATATATTTATATATAACTACTTCCAAGTTGTGACTTTATTTAAATTAAAAAAAAAATGAAGCATATTTTCATAAAAATGAGCATTTTTTTAAAAATTTCTTTCTCTAACATAAAAAAAAGAAAAAAAGGGTTTTTAAAATACATTCTAGAAAAAAAAGTCACAACCTGGTTGTAGTGACACAACATATTCCATTATTACAAACTATAATATAGAAGTTTAGTACAGACTATTAGTCTCCAGGGTCAGTAAGAAAAAGAAACGCCTCTCGATAGTCCAAACTTATTTAGACTTGAAATCACAGCGTGATGCTCTTTAGTCGCTGTTTTTTTTTTTTTCTCTCTCTCTCTTTTCAAACAAGCGAAACTCACTTTGGCTTCTCTTAGAAACCAATTTCAATTTCCGTCAAAGCGTTTGTGTACTTTCTGTTCTTTTTTCCTTTTTTTATTTTCTAATTTTAAAAAATTTACTTTAAGCACCTATATTTGTTTATAGAAAAATTACAGAGACGAAAAGTCAGACTTTTTGACTCCCCTGCTTTTCAAAAAAAAAAAAAAAAATGATCCACCGAGAGACGAACATTTTATAGTTAAAGCTTACATTAAATTAGTCTAATTTCTTAAAAGACAGTTCACCCGATATTGTCGATACTGTCAAAAAAAAATAATTCTATAAAAGTTCCTAAGAATTTGTACTCAAATTTGAATAATTTAATTTCATATTTAAAAATTATTAACACTATAATTGATAAACTTTTAACTTTTAATACTTTCTACAAATTAAAATTACTAAATAATTAATTTTTTTTAAGATTGTCATCACAATTTTCAATTTATTAAAAATACTCATAATACTCATAATAGTCCAAATTAATCAAAAAATTTAAATATTACCTACGAAATATTTAATAATTCAATTAATTTAAAAATAACAAAATTATTTAAACTTATAAAATAGTTTCGAAAACATGAAAAAATGTTTAGAATTTCATATTAAAAAAAAACAAATTAAAAGTATATTTTTTTTGTATAAATTTATTTGCACTGAGAAAAGAACTGACGCAACAATGAAAAAGAAATAAATAAAAAGAACTTTTTTTTTTGTTGAAATTTTTCCCAATATCAACATTGGACAAAATTATTTATTTTCAGAGATGAACTGCCTTAAAAATTAGACTATTTATTTACTTTTAAAATATGTCATTTCAATGGTTTAAACGAACAGTGATTTTATTGGTCGAAATTTTCTTCATTTAAAAAATACATCGAATCGCTAAATAACGAAATTATTATTAAGTTTATTAAAAAAAAAAAAAATGACTAGAAAATTTGCCACTAAAATTGCAAAAAAACAAACATTAAAATGTTCAGTTAGAAATAATTAACTATTGTCAGTTTCGTGTATCGCTTAATCAAAAAAAATGATACACACAATTTACTTTGTATATAAACTTTGAAATTCGTTATTCTTTAAAAAAATGTCAATTATCGCGATTAAAAAAAAAATCCCATCTCGACCAATAATTCACCACAAAAAATTATCTTATACGAGAAAAACAAGAACAACATATTTTCTTTTAATGAATAAAAAGTACGTTTATAAATTATTCGTCGATGGAAAAAAATGTTGTACATGTAAATCGTGTTTGAATTTTTAATTCAAGCAAGTCCATTAGAAATTAATAAGTCTATTTCTATCTAGTCTAAAACAAAAACAGGATCGGTATCAATAAATTTTTCTTTTAAGATATTGAGCGGCGTGAAATTTATGAATACCGTAGCCGTTTGTGTATATGTGTGTGTGTTTTTTCTTTTTTTTTGTGAAAATTATTCAATGAAAATTTTTCACGGGCGTCGATAGTACGAAATTACGATATTAAATATTAGTTAACAAATAAATCGACGCCGAATTTGCCAATGGTTTCTAAGTAGGCACAGATAAAACAGACTTTAAAAAAAACATTTGTTTTTTTTCGATGTTTCAATCGACAAGGCCAAAAATACAAAAGAAAGTTTTCTTTTTTTTCAAACTATATTGAACGTAAATTTCGAAGAAAAAAAGAGACGTAGATTTAAAAAGTCCAAATCAGAAAAAAAGCAAGACAAATAATGATATATATATATATAAAAAAGAAATGAATTTATTACTGCTAGAGTCCAGCTGCAGTTGTAGGATTGAGGTACATTCTGAAGATCGAAAACCTGTCGATCGACAGTTTGTGAAAAAAATGTGAAATATGAAAAGTATGGATTGAGTTGTCTTTTTCTCTGCGACCAATTTATCAGTCGTTTCACTCCGTCTCTTTTTCTCCTGAAGAGCTCAATTAATCAATCACTATAAGATTGAATAAATTGTTTTCTAGTTTAGTGAAACAGTCCAAAAAGAAAAGAAAATGGATCAGCTGACTTTTAAAGACAGCAAAGTTTGCTGGAGTTTTTTTTTCTTTTTTCTTTTGATAATAAAAATTAAAAAGAGAACGGTATTTGTACCGTGGTCTGTTATTGCCGCGATCCGTTTACGAAATGCGAGACGAAACGGACGAAAAAATTCATTCTCTCTTGTTTTTTACTTTTGTTATTTCGAAAAATTGACAAAAAGGAGAAATCTCCATAAAATTGTGGCACTCGATTTACGTAGAAGAAATTGTTTTGTGTATGAGAGAATTGTTTCGTCTCGCAAATCGCAATAAGATTATTTAGTTTCTTTTTCTCTAAGTATATTGACAGAATGTTGTTTTGGTGATTAGGTACCGCTGATATTTTTTTTTTCCAAGAAGTCGAAGCATGTCATCAGGATGTTTAGCGTCGGTTTGCGTAATTTGAATTGTTTGGATTTCCCGGCTGTCTCATGCCACCGCCAGTTCGACCTCCATCACCACCACGAGAATAACTTCCACGTGGTCCGCCCCGTGATCCACCTCTCATTCCGCCTAAACCTCCTGGAAAAAATCCATTTGCTGTCACAATAAAAGCCAAACAAATATACATAGATACAAATAAAATTAAATTTATGAATTGAAAAAAATGATGAGTTCCGAAGAAAGGAACCTTAAAAGCAAAAAATTTTATTGTTGTCAGTGAAATCAGTTTTTTTTTTTTTAAGAGTAAATTTTATAATAGAAGTAAATTTTAATAAAAATTAGTAAAATTTATTTCAAAATAAATAAATTTTAATAAAAAAAAGTAAAATTTACTTAGGACTTCGTAAAAATTCCTCTAAAGTAGTAAAAAATTTACTATTAAAAATTATTATTTTCAGAATAACTTTTACTGTTTCCAAAGGAAATTTATTTAGAAAAATTAGAAAAATTTACTTTACAAATAGTAAAATTTACTTTGAAATTAAAAAATTTTAATAACAAATCATTTTACAGTGAAATAACAATTTAAAAAAATTTTATTTTATTTTATTTTTTTTTAATTTTAATTTACTTTGGTCTTGGTAAAGTTTCCTCCAGTTAGTAAAAAATTTTTAATTAAAAATTTTTATTTCCACAATAACTCTTGCTATTTCGGAAGAAAATTTCTTTAGAAAAATTTGAAAAATCTACTTCAGAAGTAGTAAAATTTACTGTGAAAATAAGAATTTTTATTGACAAGTTCATATACGTTTGAAAAAATGTTTAAACATTTTGATTTAAAAATTAATTACGAAAATAATAAATTTTGCTATCGACAATTTTAATTTCCAGAGTAAATTTTTTTTAATGTCCAAAGTAAATTTCAGTAAAAATTAATAAAATTTATTTCAAACTTGGTAAAATTTCCTCTAAAAATAATAAAACATTTACTATTCAAAATTGTTATTTGTAGAATAATGTTTAATATTTCCAAAGAAAATTTATTTTTAAAAATTAGAAAAATTTACTTTAGAAGCAGTAAATTTTACTTTGGAATTAAAAATTTGTATAAATATTGCACTACTTTGGATTTACTATTAAAAATCGTTATTTCTAGAGTAAATTTTATAATAGAAGAACTTTTGCTATTTCCGAAGGAATTTTTTTTTTAAATTAGAAAAATCTACTTGAGAAGTAGCAAAATTTACTTTAAAAATAATAATTTCTAATAGCTAAATGTAATATATTCAAGGAAAATTTAAAAAAAATTTTATACAAAAATTAACATTGAAAATAGTAAATTTTAACAGAAATTATTAAAATATTATACTTTAGGGGATTTTATTAATTTAAGAAGATAAAAATGGAAAAAAAGGAGATTAGGTGACAAATGGAACTGTGATTCATATTCTTTTTTCCTATTTTTCGAAAGCTATTTTTTAAAACAAAACCAAAAAATTAGTTTTTAACTTATGATTTACTTCTAAGATACCTTTCATCGTTATAATAAATAATAAATAAATTGATAAAAAAATCAAAGCAATTCTTTTTTTTTTTTTTTAATAAAAAATTATGTCGACAGGGATTTAGTTTTGATAATTGCTAGATAACGCAAATCAAAGTGGAGACTGTCTTTGTTATACCTCAACCGTGAAACGCTAATTCAGAGAAAGATGAAAAAAAGCGTTGTGTCGGTGAGGTAAATTCTCGATATTTTCTTTTTATAATATATAAATTATTATTACCAGGTCCACGTTGTTGTTGTCCACCCATTGAACGCATATTATCCACTGGATTAGACCTTCCACTGCCTTCCATCGACATCCTGCTAGTCTTGATTTTCTTCTCTTCGACATTTAATTTAATCTGTCCATTCTCATCGGGGAAGAAGATCGGCTAAAATAATCAATTTACAAATAAATATAATTTTTTTCAATTTTATAAATCGAAAAATAATCATAGAATTTGAAAAATTGAAGTTAAATTATAGAAATATTCCAAATTTTCTACAATAAAAAAATTTTCTATTATAAGAGCAACTTATTTAATTATTAAAGTAAATATAAATTGAATTTAGTCTTTCGGTATTATTCCGTATTTATAATAATAAAATGCGAGTTTAGATATTTAATTTACATTTTGAAAATGAAATGTTGACAGGGATTTAGTTTTGGCCGTTGCTAAATAACGCAACCCAAAGTGGAGACTGTCACATTTGATCTTCCTCGACCTAGAATTGTGCTTTCCTTGTTTATAAAATGAAAGTACGATGTGTCGGTGAGGATTTAATTTTAAAAATAGATAACAAGAGTTTCAATGAAATAGAAGGGAAATAAAGGAATAAAACTTACAAGATCGTTCAATACTTTAGCGACAACGGTTGAATCTTCAAAGGTAATGAAACCATAATTGGGCACGCGTACAGCGCTATTTGCACCCTGTGGTCCTTTACTCCTGTCGTTTGCCTTGCTGTGAACACGTAATTCAGCGACTTTGCCATAGCGTTCAAACAATTGACGAAGATCAAATTCAGTCGCATGATGGGGCACATTGCCCAGGAAGAGTTGATGAGCGTCCGTAAATTGATTTGGTCTGCCACCGCTACGACGATCTCCGTCTGAAAATTTACCTTTTTTTTATTTTTGTTAAAAACACGTTTTCAGTTCTAAAATCGCTGACTATTAAAATAATATTAAATGTTCAGCTTAAAATCACTTAATTATAATAAAATATTCAAATTTTTAGTTTAAATTTACAAATTACCAAAAGATGGGATTAAAAATTAAATATTGATTAAAAATAATACCTCGTTGCATAGGACCACTGCGTGGTGGTCGTTGTTGTTGTGGTTGATGTAACGATTGTTGTTGGTTAGCATTCACTCGATGAGGTTGTTGTTGACTGCTAGACACATTTGTATTCGAAGTCAAAGAGGGACCAGAATTTGATGGATGAAGTGGTGATTTTTCTTCCACTTTTATACTCGACATGGGTGGCTAAATTTAAAGAATTTTCTCATTTAAAATCTGATTATAGCCTTTTGCAATTATAATTACAGCAATAATAGAGATCACAGTGATTTTGTCACTAGCTAAAAAGGGGGATTTTTATTTTTAAAAAGTGGCTTTTTCAAATCCGACTTTTTTGATCAATTTTTGTTCATAATTATTGGCTTTTTAAAATTTTTTTCTCCTTTACTTTTATCCATTTTTGAAACCTTCTCCGTAGTCTAGTCCATAAAATTCTATGTTACTATCTCCGAAGTAAATTTCAGTAAAAATTAGAAAAAAGTAAATTCGGACTTCGTAAAAATTCCTCCAAAAGTAGTAGAAAATTTACTACTACATAAAAATTATTATTTTCACAATAACTTTTACTATTCCTGAAGAAAATTTCTTTATAAAAATTAGAAATATTTACTTCAGAAGTAGTAAAATTTACTCAGAAAATAATAATTTTTATTGACAAATTGTAGAAGATTTGAAAAAATTTAAAACATTTCTATACCAAAATTAATTGTAGAAATAGTAAAATTTGCTATTGAAATTTTTAATTTCCAGCGTAAATTTTTTTATTGTCCGAAGTAAATTTCAGTAAAAATTAATAAAATTTATTAGACTTCGGAAACTTCACTCTAAAAATAGTAAAACATTTACTATACAAAATTGTTATTTCTAGAATAATTTTTAATATTTCCAAAGAAAATTTATTTTCAAAAATTAAAAAAATTTACTTTAGAAGTAGTAAAATTAACACTGGAATAATGATTTTTAATAAACAAATTGTATTACGTTAGAAGAATTCGAACAATTTTAATACAAAATTTAACAGTGGATATTGTAAAATTTCTTGTAAAAAATCGTTATTTCTAAAGTAAATTCTAATAAAAATTAATAAAATTCACGTCGGACTTGATAGAATTTCCTCATAAATAGTAAAAAATTTACTATTTAAAATTCTTATTTCTGAAATAATTTTTACTATTTCGGAAGAAAATTTCTTTATAAAAATTAGAGAAATCTTTTTCAGAAGTAGTAAAATTTACTGTAAAAATAAGAATTTTTAATAACAAATTGTACTGCATTCCAAGAAAACTGAGAAAAAATTAATACAAAAATAAATTGTGCAAATAGTAAAATTTGCTATTGAAAATCTTTTTTTTTCAGAGTCAATTTTATAATAGAAATCAATTTTAATAAAAATTAGTAAAATATATCTCAAACTTGACATAATTTCTTCCAAAATAGTCAAAATTTAAAACAAAAATAAACTATGGATATTATAAAATTTGTTGTTAAAAATAGTTATTTCCATAGTAAATTGCATAATAGAAGTAAATTTTAATAAAAATGAGAAAAATATACTTCGAACTTTATAAAATTTCCTCTAAAATAAGTAAAAAATTTACTATTACAAATTCTTATTTCCAAAATAAGTTTTACTATTTCCGAAAAAATAGAAATTTTTTCTTTATAAAAATTAGAAAAATCTTCTTCAGAAATAGTAAAATTTACTCTGAAAATAATAATTTTCAATGATAAATTTTACTACATTTTGAAGAATATTTAAAAAAATTTCATAAAATATATTAATTGTGGAAATAGTCAAATTTACTATTAAACATTTTTTTAGAGTAAATTTTAATAAAATGTTTTTTAAATTTCTAAACTTCAAGAAAATAATATAAATATAGATTTTTAAGTTTAAAAACTCCAAGAAAATAATATAAATAGATTTTTAAGTTTAAAAACTCCAAGAAAATAATATAAACAGATTTTTAAATATAAAAACGTCCAAGAAAATACATATATAGAAAAATTTTTAAATTTCAAAAACTTAAATTCGTCTCAAGTTTGCAAAAGGGAGAAATTTTTTTTTGCAACATAGACGAAAAAAAATAATTCACCTCATTTTTATTTAAAAAAAAAATACAGAATAAACTTCAGAAATGTTAAATATTCTTTCTATAAATTCTGAAGTTTACCCTGTATTTTTCGGTACATTGTACAAAAATCCCTTTCGTAAATATCTTTATTCGCTAGTCTAGAACATTCCGCAAAACTCGTTGAATTATTTTTTTCCGTGTAATTTAAAAAATTTTCCAACTTACAAAAAATGGCATTTTTTGTAAGTTTTTCTCTAAAAAAAATTGAGAAAAGGGAAGAATATGAATATTTTTAGGTGTTTTAGGAGATTTTCTTAATTTAAGGGAATTAAAAAAGGGGAAAAAGAGAAAAAAGTGTATTGAATACGAGATCCCTTTGGTAATAAGTGACGCGCTCGGTTGAAAGCAACCTTTGCAAATTTAAAGTAAAAAAATAACAATAAAATTATTTAAAATATCAAGAAAATTATCAATCCTCCAAGTCAAATATTTGTCAAATTAGTTGACTTGGAGAATTGATAATTTTCTTGATATTTTATATTATCTTTTACCGAGTGATAAATTCTACAACTATTTAATAAAATTATTTGTTTATCTTTCTTGGAAGCGCGCCACATAATAAAAATTAGTTTTCTAAAGGTTAAAAAAACACTCACTGGCGACATGGAGATTTTTGGCGGTTGGGTATTTGTGAGAGTTGCCTGTGAACTTGGACAGGACTTGACCAAATTGGCATAAGTTTTCGGTCCACTGTTGCTGGTGTTGGCCGGTGATGCCAATGTACTGTCTTGACCAATTTCGGCAGTTGGTCTCAAACAAGCTGTCTCAGTTGGTTCGAGACTCTCAGCGGATTGGGAATGTTCGTCTTCAGTGACTTGTTGTGCTTCTGTTGTTGATGTTGTCTCTGTTTCCTGTGAGAATTGCTCCTGCACCACGGGCTCAACATATTGTGGTTGTTGCGCTTGAACCGGTTGCTGAGACAGAGGAAGAGATGCTTGTTGTTGACCAATCAAGGAACTGTCGTCAGTCACCGAACCATTCATCACTGGTGGCATCACCTGGAAAAATTTCATCATTCATAAAATTGAAAAATACATTTAAAAAAATATATTTTAGAAAATTTTTTTAAATACGTAGCAAAAAAAAGAAAGAAGTCTTACGTGTTGTGGTGGCGGTGGTGGATAATAAAGAGGTTGTCCAGTTGCAATTGGTGGTTGAGTGAGAATAACGGTATGTTGTTCAGAGCCGGAAATTGGTGCCGTAATTTGTTGAGGTTGACTTTGTTGTTCCTCCTCCTCCGGTTCAGAGCGAACACCCTCTTCGCCTTCACGTTCGGTAACTTCGATCAATGCACCCTCAACGACTTCTGACTCGCCTTCCTCCTCATCCGAATAACCAAAGTCTTGATATCGAAAAATGTCATTATGCACGTAGTACTTTTTCGGTGCTTGAGCTCCGAGAACGAATGTTTGAGTAAAACGACGCATCGGTTGGCCAGCGTTCGATAGCTCTCCGGAAACCTAAAAATAATTTCCGAGTTTTTTTATTTCTCTAAAAGGAACATTTTTCTCTATTTTTCTTAATTGCAGGGCTCGAAGCAGTGAAAGTATTTAAAAATACGGACTTTCAAATTCATTTCTTTACAATATTCAATTTTACGAAATTTCAATTATTCGTAAATTCTTTAATTAAATAAGTATTAGAAAATAGAAACTAAAAATAATATTAAAAAAACTCAATTAAACTTTTTCAAAAAAATTAATTACAAAATTCAATTATTTTTTTCAAATTCACGCTATATTGCTTTTAAATATTCAATTATTATCTAAAATTTTAACTGAAATTCATTTTTATGAAATGAAGATCAATTTTTATTAGAATATTCTACCAGAATTCAATTATTTAAATAGAAAAATAAATAATTTATTAAATAATTAAATGTTTCTTGGAATTCAATTCCTATTAAAAATTTTATCAACAAATTTTTAAATAATTAAATTCTTTGGACGAATTTTAATAAAATTTTTAAGAATTTTTTCGAGGAATTCGATTAAAATTCTATTGCAAATAATTGAATTCCTAAAAAGAATTTTATTATTTACGAAAATAATTGAATCCCGGTAAAAATTTTATTAATTATGAAAATAGTTGAATGATTGCGAAGAAATTTATAAAAAAAATTTGTTATTAATGAGATTCTTGTGAAATTTTTATTATTTTTTGAAAATAATTAAAAGTTTTTGTAGAATTTTATTAAATTTTTTTTTTTAATAATTAAATACTTTTGGTAAATTTTATGAAAACAGTAGATATTGAACAATATTTAATTTTTGCGAAGAATATTATAACTTTTGAAAATAATTCAAAATTTGCAATGGATTTTATTAAAATTTTTGAAAATAATTGAATTTTATTACTTTAGAAAATAATTGAATTCGCGAAGAATTTTATTACTTTTAAAAATAATTGAATTTCTGCAATCATTTGTAATTTCTCTAAAATTCTCCAAATTATATCGTACAATTTATGAACTTTTCATCCTTTTTGAATCAAATTACGGACTTTACGGACCTTTTTTTCAAAAAAAAACGGACTTTTACGGACTTGAAGCAAAGTTACGGACCTACTTCGAGCCCTGTAATTGTTCACAAGAAAGATTTTTACCTGAACAACTACACCACTGCCGAGAGTTGCCTGCGAATCAACCTGGGTAATCTTAGCGTGGCAATCTCGAAAGTTCAGTTGCTGGATTTTTTGATGAATTTGCTTCTGACCAATTGCTGGTTTCGTTTCCTTATTTGTTTGATCAAGACCTCCGTGAACGAATGATGATGTTGTGTTATAAAACCTAAATAATCAAATTTAAATTAAGTACAAACTTTTTAAATTTAAAATATATAAAAGAAAATACAAAAAGAAATATAAAAGAAAATTATTAATTTGTACCTGTGTAAATGATTCGGGGCTTTATTCAGTAAAGTGTAGTATTGTCGGACGAACTCACGACCGACACATTGCGGTGAAGGAGATGCCTCCATGACCATTTCCTTTTTTTACTGCTGATTTGCTTCTACTCTTCTCGAATTATTATTTTAAAAATGCGCTGTGTGTTGTCTTTCGACTTGTGTTTTTTAGTTTCTAAATTAACTTTTTGCAAAAATCACAAAATAGCAGTCTTAAAATTATTAAGGCAGATGTCTGAAAAATTGAAAAGAAAACAAAATTAATACTCAAAATAGAATCAATTACACAATGTATGAAATAATTTTAATAATCTAAACTTCGTCCATTGAATTCTATACTATTTTTTAAAGCATCGAAAATAAAGTTTCTTAGCAGTATTTAAACATTTCCAATTAAACTAAAATTTACGTTTTATTTATTTATGTCAATCACAGAAGTCAGAGAACAAAATAATGACTTTTTCTTATTATGAAAGTGAATGAGTCATTCAAGTCATAGAAATTTTCGAAAATTACCTAAGCGAATTCGAATCTAATAAAACTACAAAAAAGGTATTTTTTGAATATTGAAACTAACCAACATCAACAAATTCTTCATAAAACATTAAATAATAATAAAATAATATTAATAAACTAATAAGTAATTTCTAGAATAAAATCGAAGATCTCATTAAAACATTTGTCACTGAATTCCACCCAAAATTACACTATAAGAAAATATGCGATTCTTTTCTCCTTTTTTTTTTAAACTGATTCTAGAAAAATAATTTCCGAAAGCAAATGAGAATTCACAAAGGAGAGGCGCGTGTACGATTGGCGACGCACAATTACTTTTTCTCAAAAATCATCTAAATTCTACACCTGCTCATTGACAAAGAAAGATGAAAATGAATATTACAATGAAATGCATTGGGATTGAATGGAAAACATTAAATACCTTTGAGATGAAATAGAAAATTTTGAATAATTTAAAGCATCGAAGCGTTATCGAGGCCGAAGGTGAGGGGGGCTGCCCGGTTGTATGGATCAAGCATGGCGATTTTTCTGATTCGGACACGGTAAAGGTATAGAGATATTCATCCGGTATAGAAATTAAATCAAAAAAGGGATGAGAGAATACAGTAAACCGAGAGGTATTGATAAATTTTCGGTGAAAGGATCGCGATTCAAGGACATTGAGAGGAAGCATTGAATGACAATTTTATGAATTTGAGAGGATCATCGTCTTCTCCATTGCTTTCCCTCCTAGAAGTTCTAAGGAAAAGCATCGGCAAGCCGATCTCTTTACGTTCTAGAAAACTCACCTTTGGAACACTATCACGCCACAATGCTCACTTCAGTAATCGATAGTTGAGAATGTTGAGAAAAAGAAAGGAAAATTTTTGCGAGTAATAACAATTCACAATAAACGTTTAATTATAAAAACAGTTCGGTGTGCGAATCCTTGATGCACCCGTGGTGTCAGCACATGCACGGAACCTACGCCAAAAAGGAGCCGGTCATTGAGAACAGTGAACAGACAACTAAATTTTCGACACTAGTGCCATCTTGTTATCCAATTTTCACAATTTGAAAATTTATGCAGTTTCATGTAAATCACACTTGTTAAAATAGAAATTTTTATTTTAGAATATTTTCCCTACTTATGGTTAATTGCAACAATAATTAATTAAACAAATCTAATTATATTCTGTACAAAAATGTCCTTTTTAATACTTAACGTGCCTTACGTGCTTACGTAAATATCGTAACTATAGATTCAGTAATACCAACGTAACATTATCCCTAAAGTAAAAGTTTAAAAAAATTGATCTATTGCTAATTTTTATAGAAAATAATTGAATATCATAAATTTTTATTAATCTACTCGTCTCTTTATATTATATTTATTGTATTTAAACTTATAATAATATTTTTTAAAACGATTTACTAAAAGCAGAAAATTTGTAAACCTTCAGTTGGCTGCACTGTTATAACCAGTAATTTGTCCCGTTCGTCAACGGTTCGAACGTTCATGTCGCGAGCTCCCAGCATTTTAAACCAAAAAAGTATATTTATTACAAAATTTTTTATCAAAATCCCTTCAATTTCGACTCCGTGGCTAAAAATACTTAAAGTGCAATAATAATTTTACAAAATAAATCATGATTTCATGAAAAAATGTTCGATTAGTGAAAGTGTGTGCAAAACGGTTGGCGGGAACGTGATTTCCCAAAGTGGATTATTTTTGATTAATTTTTAACAATAATTAGAGAATTCCCTTCCGATTTTTCATTGTCATTCTTTAACGCGAGTTCCGGTATTTGATTCTCATCATCTTTTTATACTAATCTCAATTTTTTTTCCGTTATAATTGAGTAAAAAAAAGTTACATGTACAACGGGTTGCATCGTTTCGAAAATGCTACTTTTACACAAGAAAAGTATATTTTTTCGAAAATTTTAGTCAAATTTAACGTAATTTCAATGTGGGAATCGAAAATACCGAAAGTATGGTTAAAATTTTGAAAAAGGAATAAAAAAATATTCGGAAATTTGTAAAATATGGAAAATCTCTAAGGGGCACAAATTGGCGGGAAAATGTCCTCCCAAAGTAATACCTAGTAATTTTCATGAATAAAAAAAAATTAACTTGATTCGTATAATTTAACGCGAGTGATCAAATTGTTACTAATTTTTAAGTTAAAAAATGGTTTTTTATAAAATATCAAGTGGTTTATTTTGGAACAAAGTGAAAAGTGAAATTAAACTTAAGTTTGTGAAATTCTTATTGTGTATTGTGAATCTTGTGAAAATACCGAAATATTTTATGGATTACAAATTGAAGACAGGAGGAATTCATCCCAGCAAAAAAATTATAAGGTACAAGGTAAAATTATTTTAATTTAATGCGAATAATGTTTAATATCGAATCCTTATAAAGGATTTATTTAATAAGAAAATTATTGCAATTTCTAAAGACTAAAAAGTGAGGGCGAGAAATGAAGAACAACATTTTTACAATGCATCACTTTATGTATTTAAATAGTTGCCAGTGACATTTTCACCCGATGCATTTTTACAATTTACAAATTCCTAAGGCTCGAATCAAGTTAGACATTCCACTGTCTAAATTTCATGTTTAGCCATAAAATAAAAAACAGTCTTTCCAAGTTTGCGCATAATACGAAAAAGGGCATTACATTTATTCAGTGTCAACTTAAACAAAAAAAAAGGAAAAAGAACCGTTAAGACCCGAAAATGTTTTAACAATTATTTTTTTTAAATCTTTAATTATAAAACTTTCTAATTGGAAGACTAGTTGAAACAACTTTTTTTCAAATCAGAATCAAATATTGACATTGAAATTAAAACAAATTAAAGGCCTTAACTCACTTTTGCAAAATTTCGACGGAAACAATTACAAAATACTAAACACCGAGTTTTTTTTTTACTTTTTAATTATTAAAGGCCAATATTTCGAGAAATCGTAAAGGTTATTTATATACACTAAAGGAGTTTAATCCTATTCTTATTCATATGAAAGCAATAATCTCTTTTTTTTCGAGCTAGATAAGATGGCGTAGTTCTTTTTTTTATAAACATTGGACAACTGTGACTTTGCATTGACTTAATTTTCATGTAAAAGTAACATTGCCTTACTTACTTCGCTATCCTATCGTAGTTTCTTAAGTTAGATGTATAGACAAAATTAAAATTATCTTATCGTTAAAATAGGATCAATGCTATACGTGTAGACGCCAGCCAGCTGACTTGTTTTCAAATTGCCATTGTTGTCTGTACAAAACCAGGAGAGCTGAGATGACATTTAAACGAATCTCGAATGAAAAAGAGGGTTATAATTTTTTAATCAAAAAAACATAAAAAGTTTAATACCTTTGAAAACAAGTTTCAAAAAAATTCACTTGACAGTGCAAAGTTTACATTTACAGTCTGTACAAAAGAAAAGAAAGAGTTTATAAGCGAGGGACAAAAAAAAAGTTTTTTTTTTCGAATTTTTATGAATTTACACAGATCCGTCTAGCTAATCGATCTTAGGCCAATTATGAAATGAAAGTTACTCCTGGTATTCTTGCATGTCTTGATTGTAGTTGCTCTGTGACGGTCTACCTTGTACATTTGCTTGAGAGCGATGGTTTTTCATGGAATGATGATTAGACGATTTATGAGGTTTATTGAAGGGCATGGAACCTGAAATAAAAAAAGAAATAAACATTTTAGACTCATATATTACCATAAGCATCCAAAACTTTATCTTCAGACCCATTAATTAAAATTTTCAAAATTAAAAATTCGAATAAAATATCCATTTAAACATTACTAAATGTGTATTAAATTGAATTTATTAAGGATGGGATGAGAGATATGGTTTTGGGTAATAGAATCATTAGATTAGGATAAATAATGAGGAGCAGTTTTTTTTATGAATATTTAAAAAAACAAACTTACAGCCACCAAATCAAACGAACAACAAATAGATGCAAATAGGAAAAAAAAATTAAATTTTCTCGTATTTAAAAAAAAACTGTAATAAAGAAATTTTGCGCCTCTTTATTACATTTCAAAAAAAAAATAAAGATATCAAGGTACGAAAAAAACATTGACATTTAGGAAGATTAAGGAAACTCACCGGTTACAATGCGAAATGCATTGCGGTCGTGTAATAAGGGATTTCCATTAATAGGGTTGGTGCCTTGCGTTCCCTCTGCCACCACCCCTCTGCTTTCCGCCGAAGCCTGAGCCTCCTGAAACACACCCCCAATTTTCCGTTAGTTCAAAACAATTTGAACCCACCCCCAATCTTCCTTTAAATTATTAATCTAATTATAATTAACAGAAAATTAACTTAAATTACAAAACTAACGTTCATTAATAATTAGAAATTTTTGTTTCGTGATACTATAAAATACAAGAAAAACATATTCTACTGTAAAAGCGAGTGCTGTAGACACGAATCAAAAATGGCATACTCTTAATTTATGCTAATTCTATTTAGAGGCTACAGGCTAAGGTAGTAAGCTGTAGGCTGCATTCCGCTTAAACAGCCCTTCTTCTTTATTCATTACTAGTGTGTAGCTTTTTGATATATTTTTTTAAACTGTAGGAAGGGATTGTTTTTTTTATGTGAATCGTGCAGGAAATACAAACAACCGGTGTGTTAGTTTCGTTTAGAAGGAATTGATAAACAAGCAATTACGGTTAATTAAATTAAATCAAAAAATTGCATTTTCAAAATGTAGTTCTACTTTAATGTAAATTAATTAATTATTATTAATTCAATTTCAATTAATTAAAATTATTAATTGAATTTTAATTGATTTAAAATTAACTTTTCACAATTTAAGATAATTAAAAATTGCTGATAAAAATTACAATAATTTAAAAACACAATGTTTTAATTTCAACTATTCAGAACATTTAAAGAATTTTAAACTCAAAGTTTGTAGTTTGAAACAAATGACAAATTCAAATAGATAATAATTGTTGAAAATATAAATTACTTTTATGCTAAAAATAAAAATTAATTTCTACGGTACAATTTTGAATCGAATAAATTTTTTCCGATTTCTGAAATAATTTTATAAACAAACAGAAAATTTATTTTCTAGAAATTAAATTAAAAAATGTTCCTAAAATTCTTCAAAATGTTCAAATGAACAAAATTTATTTACTTGTTCAAATTTAAAAAAAAAAATTTAATACAATTTTGCGTTACTATAAAAAAAATTCTGAAGTCTAATGTAAAAAATTAATTTTCTAATTTTTATTGCAGTCAGTAATTTATGAAAATATTCATAATAACAAATATTTCGTTTATTTGAACGTTCGAAATTTGTAGATAATTAAAAATCAAAGAATATGAATAGTCATTTGCTTCAGAATTTACAAACTTAAAATACTTTTGTTGGTAAAACTTGGCAATTTTTTCCATATATTTTTAAGAAACAATATAATTTCAATTTTTTTTGTTCTATTTAAAATTAATATAGAAATTGAAAAATTCATTTTAATCTTAAATTAAAAAGTAGTTTTAAAAAATTACCAGTTCTGATAAATTATTAATGCAAAGTACTTAATTTAATTTTTTTATGGAATAAGGTGGGAAGTTTTAAAAACATCTACTAGATAAGGACATTAAGAGAAAAACACAAGGAACGCTATTGCGTACCTTTACCGCGTGCACCACCACGCCCGCTCGAGTAGCCACCATCGTAATTACCACTGCCATAGCCATAACCATCTGTGATTCATGGAACACATGGCTAATTAAATAAATCACGCAAGAATATTGCGAATCTAATTCTAAAAAGTAATTTAAATCCTTTTTCTCTAAATTAATTTAAAGAATTAAATTCAAGTGGCTTGTTCGTAGGTTTTTTTTTTTTTTTAGAAACCATTAATTATTTTCATAGTAATTTCATCACTTTCATCACTTACGTAAAATTCAAAAGTAATAAAATTGTCATAAAAATTTTGAAAGAAGATAGGACACGGATAAAAGAGAAATAAATTTGCAAAATTTGATTTTTAGCAACATACACAGTATGTTTATAGGTTGAGATAAAAAAATAGAAAAAAGAGCAAAGAAAGAAAAATCCAATGTTTAAATTTTCAAAAATTTCTCCATTTTTTCGTTGAGAAAATTCTTTCCAAAGAAAATCCCCATTTTTGAGTATGCTTTTCATTCAATTAAAATTAGTCAAGAGTTCTCATAATAGAATTAATATAAACGTGCTGTAACAACGTTTCCAATTATTCGAAAAAATGTTCCCAATTATAAGATTATAAAAAATATTAAAGATTGGAAACGATAAAATTACAGCACGATTATAAAAATTACCAAAGCACTGCATTCAAGTGAAAATTGGTTATGGAATTAGGATAACAAGGATTATGTCAATGTTCAATATTGAGAGAAATAATAATTCTTACATGAAACTTGAAATTCAACTGATTCTCTAGCAATGTTAAATGACATTAAAATCACATAGAGGCAAAGAAAAATTATTAATTATTAATTCTCAATTATCATAATTATCGTAATCGGTTTTTTAACTTAATTGATAAATTTAAAAATTGATTTTCAATTTGTTTTTTGAATATAATTATTATATTTAAGGTCTTCTGAGAAAGTTATGAAAGTTTACCGTAACCAGTGTAGTCGTAGCCTCCGTAGCCACCGTACCCACCACCTCCGTAGTAATCATAGCCACCAGAGTAGCCATCATATCCGGTACTGTAGCCGCCACTTGCTCCATATCCACTTCCGAAACCAGTTCCATAACCGCCTTGCCATCCACCTTGGAATCCTCCACGTCCACCTCGGGCACCTCTTGGTCCACCACGTCCACCTCGAACCATTCCTCCGCGCATCATTCCAATTCCATCAGGTTTGGGTGTCGCTTTCTTCACATCAACTTCCTTGCCGTTGATGTTTTGCTTAGGTGTCTTCAACAATTGATTGATGACTTGCTCAGAGTCGAATGTGATAAAGCAGAACCCTTTCCTTTGGTTCTTTGTCTTGTCGAATGGCATTTCAACTTCGACAATCTGGAAAGAAAATTTCAATCTTTAGTATCGAAGAGAAAATTTAAATTCAAATTGTATTTAAAAAAAAAAAAAATTTATTGCTCAGTAAGTTCTTAATGGTCTCATGCAACAGTGCCATTCTGTTGTCTGAAGGTGTCCTAAGGAAATTAACATCATTGCAAAAGAAAATTGACTAACCCTTTCGTTTCTAATCAAATTATATTTTTAATATAGAATGAAAATTTTAATTTATTTGTAAATTGATTTATTATTGAAAGCAAATTGATTTATTTTGCTTGAATTAAAAAACTTCCAATTATTTCTGAAAAAAATCTATCAAATTGGTCTTAAAAAAATTCGTGTTGATACTCACATTTCCAAATTGACCGAAGAAGGATTTGATGTCATCGTCAGAGAGTTCTGTAGAGAGACCGCCAACAAAGATTTTTCCATGTCGTGCCTTTGCTTTTTTGGGATCTACTTTCTTGCTATTGATAACATGATCGCCAGCTGACATAATCTGAAATTTAGGGAAATAATTAGATAAATGAATTCAAGTGCAAGTAATAGTAATTCTTTTTTTATTTATGTAAAAAAAGCTTCAGAGAAAGATTTGTCTTCACTTCCACTCAGTAGCAGAACTGACTTTCATGTAACATCATTTTAATTTAATTTCTTATTTCAATTTAATTTTATTCAATTTTCAATTTTAATTGATAATTAGATTTTAATGAATAATTATTCGAAAAGTTTTATTTACCTTGTCGAGTGATTCTGCTTTCGTGAAGACGATGAAGGCAAAACCTCGGGATCTGCCAGTGTTGGGGTCAGTCTTCACATTAATACTTTCAATGTCTCCAAATTTACTGAAGTATTCGCGGAGTTCCTCTGAAAAAAAAGAATCAGTTTTATAGTCTCTGATAGTACAAAATAACGAACTTTTTTTTCTTTTCTAAATGCTCAGTAAAAAACAAATTTAGTAGTCTCATACAACAGTGCCATTCTGTTGTCTGAAGGTGTCCTAAGGAAATTAACATCATTGCGAATGTTTGCAAACAGATTTCAAAAACAAAAAAATTTTATTCTAATTTTTACAAATTTTTTAATCTTTAAAATTTTTAAAAAATTTTCGACTCTTGACAATTGATCTTTTTAATGTTTTTTTTTGACTTATTTAAATAATTAAATGAAAATACTCACTGTCTGTTGTTTCCCAACTAAGTGCACCAACGAACAACTTTCTAAATTGGACAGAAAAAAATTACACTATTAGTTTAAATCGACGAAATTGAATTTAATAAATTCCTAACTTATTCTATTTATGAAAAAGTGAACTTTTTATAAAGAAAAAATAGTAAATTATTTTAAACGCTTTAATTAATTAAAATACAATTTATTATAAATGAGGCTTCTGATGACGGCAAATTCTCAAATGTTCTGCAACTGTGCATAAAAAATTATCTGCAATAAAAAGTAAAAAAAAATTTCATATATAATATATATAAATAACAGGTGGTTAAAAAACCAATTATTTGAAAATTTAATTACAAAGTAAAATTATGACCACAACCAGCTACCACCTGGTTAACTTTAAAATTTACGCTTTACTCTTTTCTTTTTTTTAATTATTTCGGTAAAACTCAAATTTTTATCTTAAATTCCTTGTTCAGCCAACCTGCAAAGCAATTTGAGTTTTTTTTTTCTTTTGACAAATTTAATTTCAATTTCAATTTCACTTAGACTATTTATTGAAAATAGGTAAAAGAAAGATTAAAAAAAAACCTAAATATACAAATTTTGAATATAGAATAAAAGTAAACTTTGCAGCGAAGACATTTTTTTTTTGCTTACAAGATCATTGAGACAAAAAACAAATTCGTAGAATTAGTATTAGTAGAAATAGTAATTTCATACCGTTCGGATGAACTCCTGGTTATGATGAGTATTAAAAGAAAGGCGTGTTTCGTGTGTATAAGTGTTTGTCTGCCATGTGAAAGATCAAATTTACAATTTTACAAAAAGGCAAAATTCCCAAAAATGTATGCACACTGACGAGAAATAATTTAAGTGTGCGCATTTGTGTGTGTCCAGTACAACAAAAAAGAAAAAAATTCCCAAATTAAACGATAAAAAGAAATTAAGAGCAAAAAATTTTTAACGTTGACAAACAGCTGCCGCCTAAAGACAATTACGAGCAAAAAAAAAAAAGTTAATTTTTATTTTTCCAAGTTGTGAATATTGACTGCAGATTGGCCCAAAGATTTTTTTTAACATTTTAGGTAGAAGACATCTTTATTAATTTATCGAAAAGCTAAAAAATTATCGCGAGAATCGAGTTTCTTTTGATAGCTTTAAGATAATTTGTTTTTTTCGTTTTTTTTTATTAAAAGAAAATCTTTTTTTTTAAAATCTGTTTTAAACAAATTTTCATCTTTCTCAATCATCAAATTATATATAGTTAATCTCTCGTAATACAATTTCATAGCCTCAATCATAAAAACGTGTTTAAATATTTCTCACGTTTCTGTCAAGTGTGATAGTCGCTATTTGTATTGGAGATATTATTATTATTATTGATCTTTTTCAAAATTTATCGTCTAGGGCTGGTGAGATAAATACCGTAGGCACCAGTCTCTTGTTGATTTTCAGTTGTAGATTGGATCTCAGCCAGTTGCGAGTCGCCCACCATTTTCACACACATGGGTCGATTGACACCTGCAGACCAAGCCACATAAATTGGGTTAAATGGCAGTGTCCGACTTTATCAAAACTTTTAATCGGATTTAGCCCTAGTGACTGTGCTTTTGGTCATGCCCAAATTGCATTGACAATTGGAATCAGAATTTGACTCTACGCGTGATGTAGCAGGTCTGTGCAAGAGATTGAACGATCTGACAATTGACTCGACTTCCAGTGTTTGCGCCATGACGAAACACGAAGGACTTGAAATATTGACGTTGACTTCGAACAATAATTTTTTTAATATATTTTTTTTTTGAAATTCGTATGGCTTCAAATTATCATTTTCACACTTTCCAGGCAAGCAGTCTATAGTTTTTTTTAGCCCGATGTTAATTAAAAATGGCCAACCAAAATTCAGTAGCAATGTTGGAAGAGAAGAAAGTCTTTGGCTGGCCAAATTACATAAACTTTAAAGCTTTTTTTCAAAATTCTATACACAAAGTACAATTACAAAATTTAATTATTGATGCGTTACATTTTATATGTATATAAAATCTTCGATGGCAAAATTAAACTTTTCTTTTTGTCAAAAAACAAAATGAACAATTATTTCTTTTTTGGGAACAGAGTGGAAGTGAGGAAAACTTTATTTTATTTATACAAATTTAACTTTACAAAAATCAATTATTACAAGACAATTACATTTAATTGAAAATAATTCTAGTCAGTAATTTAAGATTTACCTTAAACTTAATTTAATAACATGCCACACGTCAGTCAAATCTTATTTTATTATTAAAGAATGTGGAAAGCCGGTTTTTTTTCTTTTAATTTTAAAATTAGCGCGAATTTTCTATATAATAATTTTCGATTAGAAGCTAAAATTGCAAAATTTATAAACGAGTTTAAAAGCGAAAACACGTGGCCAATGTAAAAATATTAAAATAAATTTCAAAAAAATTTGAAATCTTGAACTTACCCAAATTTTTACAATTTCTACAAAAATTAGAATCTAATGCTTACCCAAATTCCAAAAATATCGATATCTCGGAACTAGAAATTTTCTAAAAAATCCAAAGCTGTTAAAAATATAATATAAAAAAAAGGAAAAATTCGAAATTCATTTAAACTGATAAGATATTCAATTATTTACAAAATGTTATTAGTTTTGGCCAGCGTCAAAGAATCCACGTCGAGTTCCTAATTTGCTGAAAAATCGATTAATCTACAAGTTTTTTTTTTTTTACAAAAAACCATTATTCTCTAATTTTATATTTCGTAATTCAGAACTTAAGACAAACAAAGATTAAACTTCTTTTTTTCTCTATTTTCAACAAAAATTCTGAGTTCAAGTTCATCGTTACGTACATTATAAAACTGATTTCCTTGAAAAAAAACGTGACATCATGAAATAAAAAATACACATAGTAAAACTTTACATCATACACAATACATATTAACAACGCAATAGCTGATAAAAAAATATCAACAATTTCCGGATCACATACTAAATCAATAATTGTAATATAAAAAAAAATTTTCAATTTTAACACTAAAATTACAAATTTTACCATGTAAATCTTAAATACAGTAAAATTAAGTTAAGAAAATCGATTATGTGAAATTCATTGGCCGCCATTTTCGCTTTTTAAACAAGGTTTCTCATGATGCTTTTCATGACCGGCGTTTCCACATTTATTGGCTTGAAAAGAATGTAAAAAAATTTCTCTAACGCAAAATACACGTGGTCCGAGCTAAAGGGTACGAAAACGATAAATGACGCCCGCGATTTCATCAAAAAAGAATGCTTCGCGAATAAGATGGAAATGGATTATTAAAAGTTTAGTCCCCCAAAACGTGCCGGAACAAACGCCATTTCGTTCATGAGTCACAAATGATTTTTTTTCCCTTTAGATATTATGAAAAATATAATATCGCGGGCGTCTTAAAAATCGCGATGGTTCAAATATAGTATATTTTGATCAAGAAAAAAAATTAATGTTATGATTGGAAAAAAATTTACCTGTCTTCTTGTGATTCTACACTACCACCATTTTCAGTGGCATCACCGCCGCCGCCCTCGCCGTTTTGCTGGAAACCTTGATCCGCAATATCGTCGGTGAAATCCTTGTTTTCCTCATTGGCCATTTTGATTAAAATAGTTTTTTTTAGTATTTAAATGAATAAATATTTTGAACACTAGGAAATTGTAACTGTGTTTGAAAAATAAGATTAAACTCCGAGTCAAAAAGCACTTTACGTCCGAACTGCTCGGCTGCCAAAAGAAGAAGAACGAAATAGTGGTGGTAGAGGGGAAGTTTCCCTACAATTCATTTATGGTTAGTCGTAGTGCTTCATGGGTAATTTCTTCCTCTCCCATTTAATGTCACTAACCAATCAGACAACGTGCAAATTTACGAGATTCATAGTCATACATAGAGTTTATAGTGCCCTTTCCTTTTGTTTATAACAAATGCTCTAAAAATTATTTTTTCGTTATGATAATAACATCTGAAAATACACCAATTATTATTACAAAAAAAAAAATTGGAAATTCCCATTTTTTTTGTAAACAAAAAAATTATAGAAAAACAATTACTAAAATTAAAGATTCAATATCACTGATTTAACTAAAATTTATTAAACTATTTCTATTTATTTTTTACCAAATATATTTTTTCTTATTCAATAAATAATATGCGTAGAAATATAAAATCTTTCGATTCGTACTCAATAAATTTCTAGAAGTATACTAAAGAGAAAATTTTCATGTTTAATTAAAGAATAAAATTAAATATTCAATAGTTAAAATATTTTTATTCGTACAGTTGATAGATTAAAATATTTCTAAAATATCATACTTAAAATATTTTGTCTGAAAAATGAATTTTTGGAGTAATTACTACGCTCCTGGAAGTGGTACTAAAAAAGGACGCTAAACGTAAAACGTGTGAAATAGTGAGAGAGAGAAAAGGAGCATGTGCTTGTAAAAGCAAAGCCAAGTTGACCAATAATATTCGAGAATTGATCCCCCTGACTCATCCGGAAATGAAATCAATACGCGAAAAGGAGGTAAATTTATATTAAAATATATCCAATTTAAACAAAATTATTCTTAGCCCCTACTTTGCTAATTTTAGCAAACATAAAATATTTATAATAAAATAAATTATTAATTCAGTTTGATGTGAAGTCAAAGCAGTTGAAATGATTCATTCCATGCATTTGTTTAACTTCCTGTTAGATATGACAACGTTAGTCAGTGAAATGAAAAATTTAGCGAATAACTTTTACCTTATCTCATAAAAAATTAGAAGTTCTTGTTTTTCTTTTATCTAAAAATTCAAATAAAATATTATTCTTTAAATTTGTTTAAAAAAAACTATAAGAAGATAAAAAAAAAAATCACTTGATTTTATATCTTATTGTAAATAATAAAATATTTACCAAATTCGTAAATAATTATTTTACCAATGTTTTTTTAAAGCAAATTTAATTATTCAAGAGACTTGTTAACGTTGATTTAGCTAGCAAGTTAATATAAAATCCAACTAAATTAAAAATATTTTCTTACAATTTTCAAATCCAAAAGAATTAAAATTTTATTAGTGAAATATTTTACTATTACCTTTAGAATAATAACAATAATAAAATAATTGAAGTAAAAAATAAAATAATATTTCTTAATGAAAAATTAATTTTTATATTAATCATTTTGTAAAATTTTTAATAATAAAAAAATGAAACAAAAGATAAATATTTACAATTAAATAATAAGTAAAAATTAAAAATTTACTATAATTATTCATTATGATGTTCAAGTTTTACGTCCGTGAAATTCACGATTATTATCAACAATTTAGAGAAAAGCTAATTTCCATTTTTAAATTTACATTTAAAGATTTTTTATTAACAGTTTTGATAATTCAATTATTTTGAAAATTTGCAATTAAAATTCTTCAAAAGTTGATTTTTAAAAATTCTATTTTCTAACAAAAAGCTTTAAAAAAATTAATTATTTTCAATTAAATTTTACAAAATTTCAATTATTCAAAATCTTTTTAGCTGCAGCTAAAATAAAAATAAATAAATATATGTACATGTATATTTCAAAAATTTAAATAGAAAAATTATATATTTTCTTTCAATATTTGGAAGAAGAGTCGAAAAAGTCGCAATTTTTTAAAAATAAGTCAAAAAAATCTCAATTTTTGTTTAGAAACTTTATATGTTTTTTTATAGTGATGTAAAAATTATTATAATAAAAATTAAATTTCCAGAAGAAATAAATAAATCTCGTTCATAACGATAAAAAGAATAATAAATAATTATAGTATAAATAAAATAGTAATAGTACGAAATAAAATAAAAATAGTAAAAAATAGAATTTTTCTTAAAGAAAAGTAAATTAATTTTTAAAATAAATTATCATTTTTTTAAAATTTGTATAATAGAAAAATAAATATTTAAGTTAATTATCAAATAGTGAAAGGAAAATGATTAAAAATTTACTATACGCATTAAATTGATAAAATAATTTTCTATGCTAAATTTTAATCTAGTAGGTATTAAAAAAAATTTTGGGGAAAAATGTAAAAAAAGCAAATTTTTGAGCCGACATTGAATTTTTTATTTTGGTATTGCAAATTAATCCTATAAAATAATAATTTTAATAAATACCTAGGCTTATTTCTAATGCATTCGTGTACGTATACACGTGAGTGTCCCGAGATTTTCGTACCCGGAAAAAATATACTTGAGACAAATACAAGTTCATCCAAAACATACTATGGTACATTTATTTCTTTCGGAAGCATCAATATTTACGCGACTCATTAAATTAATTTACATTTTCAATTGCAGACATCAGTCGATTTATCTTATGATTAAAAAAAGGAAAATTTTTGTGCTCAAGTAAACATTCTTCATCACGAAAATTTATTTTTCTTTCCTTAAAGTTTAAAAAACTTTTGAATATTGCCTTCATTGTTGTTGTAGTTTTTTTTATTAAATAGTAATCAAAAAACCTTATTTTAAATAAATTTTTATTGGTGTTGCCAAATTTCTTGAAAACTGCTTCTTCATTTTTCATATAGAAAATCCTGAAATTGACGTAACCAAAAAAATCATTGAGTATTGCCTAGTAGACGTTTTTTTTTAAGTAGATTAATCCGTATTTTCATCCAGTAATAGAGCAGTAATGACAAGCTCTGATGCTCCTTTTTGGAAGTAAATCTGAGAATACTGAGGCACATTCTGTAACATGATATGAATCCACGATTTTGTCACGAAAATTCTTTTTTCTGGTTATAATAAAAAAAAAAAAATGTTGAATATTAAAAAAAAATTCCATTTATTTCCTTTCATCCATCTTTAAAGATTGTTGTAAAACTAATTGAAGAATAGAAATACAAAACTCTGAGAGCAAAGGAAATATTATCAATGTCATTACTTTATTTTATATTAAAGTTTACAAAAAATTAAATAAATTAAAAAAAAGGCCTTTCTTTCATAAGTAGACAATGATGGTACTTCTCTCAGCTCAACAACTTGATTTTCATTAAAAAAATCAGACTTAGAATCATTTATTAGTTTGAATCATTGACTATAAGCTTAAAATAAAAAGAAAAATTATATTTAAAAACTGCACAAAACACGAAAAGATGAGACTGCTGATGTTGATTTTATGGTATTCAGTCGTTATCTCGTATTATCGATAGATGCAGAACGTTGCACACCTGCGCTGAAAACCGGACAGAGTTTAAATTTTCTATTTCACGAATCTATTACTTTTTTTTCTAACTTCATGCAGGAAGAATATTATTATTTTCGAGAAAAAAAAATGTAATAATGGAAGAAAGGGAATAAAATGGGAATTTTTTTTTAAAATACTTTTTCAAAAAAATAAAAGAAGTAAGAAAAGAAAATTTAGCTAATTTAGAATAAATAAAAGAAAGATAGAAAAAGATTTGGGTGGGAGGGAAAATTACTCACCAACGATCGCAATGCAATTTGCATTGAGTTCGTGAATTACAAATTCATTTAATAAGGCTGATGCCTGGCGTTTCCTCTACCTCCACCTCTTTGTTTTCCGGCAAAACCTGCACCACCTGTAAACATATTTATAGAAAATTGTTACACATTCGAATGAAATTTCGTTTTTCTTCTTCTTCTCCTTTATTTGCAGTACAAACAAAAAATTTAAAAAAAATCCAATACAAAAAAATATATAACTACAAATATTAAGTGATTAAGAAAGAAAAAGTCGACTACAGAAAATTCAGACTTTACTCAGGTAGATGGCTGCGTTCCGAATCAATACAGAGTGCCAAGCCTCGTTAAACATTTCTGGATAATTTTTCTTTTATTTAAAAGCGTCTATTGTAGATATTGTACGTATAAAACGCCGATTTAACTATCAAAAATCTTCTGAGAAATTTTGAAAATTGGGTCGCGTTTTTCTTTTACGACAAATTAACAGCGTTAGTGAGTAAAGATAGAAAAAAAAATAATAACACACAAAAAAGAAAAAAAAAAAAATTGTTACATTTAAGTGCTCCTTCAAAACGTTCTATTATTCTAAAATCAAACAAAAAACTAAAAATAATACTCAAGACCGTGCAGATTAAAATGGATAATTATTTTTTTCATAACGAAAAGGATCGATGCAAAAAAAAAAATAAAAAAAAAATACAGGAATCAATCGATGTTCATTGATTTAAGATCAGGCGAAAAATGTTTTTTTTAATCATTTAACTGATTTTTTGAAGTATGTAAACCAATTTTACATTCTCATCAAAATGAGATTGAATTTTCTTTTTTTGAAAAAGAAATAACGACTTGAATCGATCGACATCGATAAGAAATGGATTTCGGTTTTCGTTTAAAGGGTAAAGGGAGAGGATTAAAATGAAAATTATGGATAATACGAGAATAGAGAAAAGGTCGCGAATGCGTACCTTTACCGCGTGCACCACCGCGCCCACCTGCGTAGCCACCATCGTAACTACCACCGCCATAGCCATAGCCGTCTGCGTTTCATGGAACACACGATGCAAAGAGACAATCAAGTCAGTATCGTCGATTTCGTGTTTCTTTTTTGGCAAATTAAATTTAGCTATGTAGTTTTATAATCATTAAGTTAAAAAAAAGATAAATGTGCTTAATTAAAATTAAACCATTTTATCTCAAAAATTGAACGTTAAAAAAAAATTATTACGACTCACAAAAAACTATAATTCCCTTGGAAAAATTAATTTTTCAAATAAAATGTTAATTTGAAAGCTAATTTGAAAAGGACTTTGATAGGACTCGAAAGCAGGATAAAGGGATACATATACCATTTCATAAATTATGTTATGCATAGTTTTAATGTTTTCTTTGACAAAGTATTTATATATAATTATGTTACAGTGATTGAGTGTTTTTTTTTTTTTTTTTTGAAGTCAGCGAGTCTGTAGAATTGAAAAAAAGAGGAAAAAAAGTAAAATCAAGTACAGAAAATAAAAAAATGATATAATAACAAATTCCACCGATTCACTGACATCAATCAGAGAACGTATGAAATATAGACAATTTAAAAATTCAAAAATCTTAAATTTTCGCAAAATATAGCGTTAAAATGGATATCAAGTAAATAAAAGAGTTTTCAAAAATTCGTAAAATGAAATTAAAAAACTATTACTTTTAAACAAATAAAAGGAAAATACTCTTCACACTTTCACTGTTACATAATATATTTCATTACTTATTGTTAATGCGCCATTTATATATTTGCATATTGTAGATAATTTAATTTTCATAAGTATTTCAGCAATTTTAAAGAAAATTTTGGGTTTGTTATTTGCGTTAAGTGGGTTAGAGCAACGTTAATGGAGAATGATTAGAATTAACTTCTCAAGGTTGAAATTGAATTTCACGATTAAAGAAAATAAGGGCGCAAATAAACCGTTTTTTTAAAAATAATACGCTGTTGATTTGCCTGCAATTCAACAGAAATAATATCACACATTTTTCTTCGCCTATCGTACAATAATTTATGTACAATAGTCTAAAGTATGTACAATATGTCTAATCATTCATATTTGTCCTCGATTGTGGACAATCGCGAAAAACTGTGGAGCAATCATGATTTTTATTTTTTTTTTGCTTGCGCCTCGTTTGAGCAAAATAAATAGAAAATTCTTTTCTTTTTTTTATATATTATTATATATATAATGCGTTTGTTCAAAAGAGGGAAGCGCGATCGTGGGCATATCCACGATTCAGAGCCGTTCGTCGTAGCGCTGATCTCAGAAAGACAGACGATCGATAGTTTATCGCAGAAACGAATGACGAACGACCTTCAGTAAAAGTCATGAAAATTACCATAGCCACTGTAGTCGTAGCCGCCGTAGCCACCGTACCCACCGGCGTAATAATCGTATCCTCCGTAGTTGTCGTAGCCACCTCCGTATCCGCCCTGGTAGCCGCCTCCATAGCCTCCACCATAACCGCCTTGCCAACCACCTTGGAATCCTCCACGTCCACCGCGACCACCTCTAGCTCCACGACCACGCATCATTCCACCTCTCATTCCTCCCATTCCATCGAGTTTTGGCGTTGCTTTCTTCACGTCCACCTGTAATTATTTTCCACCATATCAAAAATCTCTTCCAATTTTTATCAGAATTTTGTCGTTTACTCTTTCTATTTTTTTCAATATTATCTCAGAGAAAGAGTTTTCCTCACTTACACTCAGTAGCAGAACTGACTTTCAATTAACATCATTAATTTAACAAAAATGTTATTAAAATTTAGCAAAAAAAATATAAAACGAATAGAAAGTTTATTTCGAAAAAACCAAAAACTTGTAAAAGTTTAGAACATTTGTCGATACTTTTAGATATTGATTGATTTTTTATGAATAAAAATTCGTACCTCTTTTCCATTAATTGTTTGCTTAGGAGTCTTCAGGAGTTTGTTGACAACTTGTTCGGATTCAAAGGTGATGAAACAGAATCCTTTCCTCTGATTCTTTGTCTTATCGAAGGGCATTTCAACTTCGACGATCTATACAAATTTAATTTCTATTATTGCTTTACTTATCACACAAAAATTTGTAATATAAATAAACGATAGAAATAAATCTATACAAATAATATTAATAGAAATCAAAATTAATAAAATATACAAATATTAATACAGTTAAAAATAAAAATATATAAAAAAAAGATAATAGGAGTGAAGTAATCAAGTGAAAAAAATGTAACTAGTAGTCGAAAATAATTCTTACGGTTCCAAATTGACCAAAGAAATTTTTAATATCATCATCGGATAATTCGGTCGAAAGGCCGCCGACGAAAATTTTTCCATGTCGTGCCTTTGCTTTCTTGGGGTCAACTTTCTTGTTATTGATCATATGATCGCCTGCTGACATAATCTAGAAAAGAGACGGAAATTTTATAGAATCGGAAACAATTTAGTAAAGGGAAAAATACAATGAATGGAAATTTAGTTAAAAAATAAATAAAAAGAATAGAAATTCACCTTATCGAGAGATTCAGCTTTAGCGAAGACAATAAAGGCAAATCCTCTTGATCGTCCAGTATTTGGGTCTGTCTTAACATTGATGCTCTCAATGTCACCATATTTACTAAAGTACTCACGAAGTTCCTCTGAAAAAATATTTCGCCATTTTAAAAATAGAATTCTTCATTTTTTCTTATTCTTCTTTTGATATTTCCTTTTAAAAAAATTCTATATTTAAAATTATACTCACTGTCAGTAGTTTCCCAACTGAGAGCACCGACAAACAATTTCCTATAAAAAAGAAAAGGAAAATCTTTTAATAAAATCTAAAACATTTTCTCTTGTAATTCCTAACCATTATTTTTTTTTTGCTTATTTTCTTAATTCTTCAAAATTTTCACAATGAAAACTGATTTTTTGTTTTACAACTAATCATTAAAATTAATTATTTCTCGACAATAGGATTCTTTTATTGATTTGTTCAATTCAAATCACTGCAACTTAACAAGTTTATCTGTAATAAAAAATGATAGGCAGACAAAATTAACTAATTTCTTTTCTTTTTCCAAAATCAAAAACCATAGTACAGCTACCACACCTGGATATATGAAACTTAAAAATTCTAATTCATTTTTCACAACTTAAAATTTTGACATTTTTAAAATCATTTTTTAAACTTAAAATCAACAATTCAACAATTCAACAATTAAGGAATTTAATATTATATATCCGCTCCGGCTGACCTGCAAATTGAATTTATTTTTATTCACTGAACTTTTGATTCCTTTTTTTTTAATAATACTAAGAGATTACAAGAGATACAAACTCAAAGTCTTTTTATTCTTTTATTTTTGACTAGTTTCCTGAAAAAAAATCCTTCTTTATTTAGTTAGAGAGAAAAATTTCAAAACAGGAGCCAACTATTTTGCTTACTTAACTTTTATGTAAATTACAATCCATTCTTTTGTCATTATTATCAATATTCTACATAAATATCAATATATTATTTACCAACAAAAAAAAAATACTACCACAATACTCAACTTATTAGAAAATATAGAAATAGTAATATCATACCATGTGCAGACATCTCTGATGAAAGATGAAAAATCATTACCGTAAAAAAAAAACATCAAAATTTTTCATGAGCCTTTCTTTTGTCACAAAAATAGAATACAAAAAAAATTAAAAGAAAATTACGCAATCATTCGAGAGAGTCAAAAACAAATTTTCTTTTCTTTTGTTCTTTTAACAAAAATTCAACACGAGCAATCATTAAACATCCAGATGACAATAATCAGCTGCGCCTAAAGAAAACAATTTATTTTTACTTTTTGCAAAAGAAAAAAACAATTCAAAATTTTTTTATTTCCAAGTTGACACTGCTGATTGGTCCAAAGATTTTTCGTCTAGAAGACTGCAACTCTCTCTATATTGAAAATGCTAAAAACTTATTCGCCTAATTATATAAATAATATCAAATAATCATCAGAGGCGAATAGAACAAATTTCAAACAATTCTACTAAATTAACAATTAGTAATTACAGTTAGGAATATAATTTTTTTTTCTTTCAAAACACAGAGTGTCTACTAAATTTTATCATTTTTTTAATTTTCGAATTTTTTTGGTTTGTAAAATTAGTTATTGTTTCTAATAATAATCACCGTGGATTTAATAAAAATTAGAATATTTTTCACTTCTCTCACAGGTCTCGGATTTAAATACTTCTTATTTCTCTTTCGACGGGAAATAAAATATAAAAAATTTCAGATTTAAACCTTCTGAAATTGAATAATTTCTAAAAATCATAACTATAAACCTTCCAAAATTTAATTATTTTCTATAATTTTTAATGAAATTTCATTTTAAAATCAATTATTTTTATTAATTTTCGGAAACTTTTTCGAGAATTCAATTATTTAAATACAAAAATTCAGTTCTTTAATAATTGTAACTGTTTATGATTTTTCAAATTATTAAGACGTATATTTTCAAAAAATTCTAATAAAGAAATTCTTAAAATTTATTTTTTAAAAATAATTTTTGAATGATAATTTAGTTTTTCAATTACTTATATATAATTGAAAAATTTCCAAACAATAGAAATTTAGAGGGTAAAATATAAAAAAACTGAAATTTGATAAAACATTTCAAAGTCATTGATTTTTTGAAAAATATAAAAAAGTAATCCAATTTTTGAAGAATTTTAATAAAAAATTCAAAACATGATGGCCAAAAATTCTAAGAATTAGTTTTTTCAAAAATATTTTCATATAATTTTGAGAAGCTAGTTTTTATTTTTAAATTTACATTTAAAGATTTTTCATTAAAATTTTTGAGAATTGAACTATTTTCAAAATTTGCAATTAAAATTCTTCAAAAGTTGATTTTCCAAAATTTTAATAAAATACTTGAAAAAATCAATTATTTTTAATTAAATTTTACGAAATTTCAATTATTCAAAATCTTTTTAATTATTGTATATTTTGAAAATTTAATCAGAAAAATTGTTCAAAAATAATTTAATTTGAAAGATTTGTCTATAGTTATTTTTAAGACTATAAAATGAAAATAAGTTGCATTTTATACTAAAAATATGATATTTTGTTGCAATATTTGGAAGAACAGTCGAAAAAGTCGTAATTTTTGAAAATAAGTCGAAGAAAGTCTCAGTTTTTGAAAATAGTCGAGAAAAGTCGAAAAAGTCATAATATCATAATATCCGAGGTCTGGAATTATTATAATTGAAATCGAAACAAATTAATATTTTTTAAGCAATAAAATCACTTTCTTTAAATATTAGCATTTTGATAACAAATTATTTTACAACTGTTAATATTGTCGACATTTTACATTTTTTTCTCTCCCAAAATTACTGGTTTCTTTGAATTTTCAAAATTGAATTGAAATTTATTTTCAAATTTAGTGCCCCAGGAGTGTTCTTTTGTAAATATTGAATCTGAAAAGCGAAAATAGTTTTCGAGTTCAAAAAAAAGTAAAATGTCCTGAAAATTAATTTTAAAAACCAAAAAAAGTAAAATTTCCAGTTATAGTAGACACCCTGAAAATAAAAACCTAAAAATTAAATAAAAAACATCTACTTTGATTTAATTTTGTCAAGGATTTTTATCAATTTCTCTCTCTCTCTCAATTTCTTTCTTTTTCTTAATTTTCTCTCGTCTTTGGCTTTATTTCTCTCGAGTCAGATGTATTGGCTACGATATATTTTTTTTTTCAATTTAGTTGTATGTGCGGTAGTCGCTAAATTTTTTTTTTTTTATTTTTATATTTCGATTAATGAAGTTTTTTTGATTTATTTTTCGTTTATCGTCGTCTTAGGGCTGGTGGATAAATACCATGGACACCAGTCTCACTCGCCGATACTCAGTTGTTGGTCAGGTCACGATAAGCCGGTTGCTAGCCGCCCACCATATTCGCACTGGGTCGTTTTTGCCACCTGCAGATCAAGCCACATAAACTTGGGTTAATGCATTCCGAAATAGTTTCGTGATTTTCGCATTGTTCCCTAGTGACTCTGTGCTCGGTCACGCCCAAACTGCATTGACTCACTTCGGATCTGAATTTGACTCTACGCGTGACCCAGCAGGAAAATGTGCGAGACTTGACTGATCTGACACAATTTGACTCAACTTCCACAGTGTGCTTGTGTGCCATGACGAGACATGACGGACTTGAATAACTTGACGTGTTCACATCTTTCAATATTTATTTCTCTGCCTTTTCTTTTTATTTTTGATATATAACAAAAAAATAGTCTCAAGTTCTTATAACGAAAAAAAGTACGAAATAAAGTTATTTTTTTCTCAAACTTTTACATCTCTTCTTTTTTGAAAATTGATTCTCATTTCTTTAAATTCACAATTCTCTTTTTGGCGTTTTTATTTTACTCTGCTCTTGAATATATTTAGACAACTTTCATTTTTTTCAATACCGCAAAATTATTTAAATTTCAAATCTTTGTTTTTCGAAACTTGAGACTATGTGAAAGGGACTACAATTTTTTTTTAGACATTTACCATTGAATAAGAAATGTATACCCAGAATTCGGCTGCAAAGAACAAGTTAAATTCTCATTTCATTTACCTTTACAGTTTAGAATCACCAAAAAAAAAAGATAGAATGTGTCCCTTTATTAAGAAAATATTTGTAATAAAATTGATTTACTATAATTAAATATATATATATAGGAATATTAGGATCAGTTTTTGTACAAATTTCATTAACCATATAACAAAAGCACAATATCAAAATCAAAATAGTCATCGATTATGATTAATTTATCAGAAATTATTATGAATGCATGCCCATAAGTCAGTCAATATTGTCAATTGACAAAGATGAAAAAAAAATCTATAATATAGATTTTCTAATTCTATGACGCTATCAAGTGGAACGCCGGCTTTTTGCTCTAAAATTCAAAACAAACAATTTTTCAATTTTCCAAATTCGAATTGATTTACTTAATATTCAAAAATTCAGGCAGGCCTCGCACTCAATAATTAATTTTAAAAACAGTATCTTTAAGACCGAAAAAAGTAGTTATTGAAAAATTAAATTTGACTAAAAACAACTCGTTTTAGACAATTCTGCATTTTTTTTTCTAATTTTCCTACAAAAAAAATTTACATTTTTTCTCACATTGCTAATAATTTAAATTCTAATTTTTTGTTACAAAATTCAATAATTTTCAGTTCTACAAAAATTCAATTATATTTAAAAATAATTTTTAAATGCAGAAAAAAACAAAAATTCAACTATCTTCAAAACATTTTAATTCAAATTTTTCAAAAAAAAAAAAAACATTTTTCATAATTTTCCAATTAAATTACATTCTAAACTTGAATAATTTTTGTTAAATAAATACTTATTTATTTATCAGAAATTACAATATTTTAGAAGATTTATGTGTAAAATCTTCTTGAAATTTATCAGTTTCTAAAAATTACAACTATAATTCTTCCAAAATTCAATAATTTTTTTTTGGTGATGTTTTTAATTAAAATTTTTTAGAACTTTAATAATTTTTTAAGAAACAAATAAATTTATATATATTCTTTTCTTAAAAATAAAAAATTGTATATTGTTACAGTTTTACAACAATTAAAATTTTCAAAGATTAGAATTTAAAAATCTTTTGAAATTTAATTATTTCTAAAAATTCATAATATAACACTTCTAATATTTAATTATGAACTTTTTCAATTGAAATTCAATTTTAAATCAATTATTCTTAGAAAGTTCTACGAAAATTCAATTATTTTAATATGAAAATAAATAATTTACTGAATAATAATTGAATATATCTTAAAATAATTGAACTCTTTTGAAGAATTTTAATAATATTTTTCAAAATAATTGTATTTTTCAAGGAAATAATTTTAAATTGTATAAAAAATAATTGAAATTCTGTGAAACGTATTATTATTTATAAAAGTAATTTAAGTCTTGCAAAGAATTAAATTTTTTTTAAACAGTTGATTTTGTTCGAAAAATTTTATGAAAATTGTATTTTAAGTCATTGATCTCCTGTAAAAATTTCATTATTTACGAAAATAATTAAATTTACATATCTAAAGTATTTTATTATTTATGAAAATAATTTAATTCCAGCGAAGAATTTTATTATTTTCTTGAATAATTGAATTCTTACCAATTTCTTTCGACGAATTTAATTAAAATTTTATTGAAAATAATTCAATTCTTATGTATAGAATTTTAATAAAAATTTGTAAAAAGAATTGAATTTCTGTGAAGAGTTGTATTAAAATTTTCAAATAACAATTGAATTTCCGAAAAGAATTTTATAAAAATTCTTTTAAATAATTGATTTTTTTCCAAAAAATTCAATGAAAATTGTATTTTAAATAATTGAATTCCTGTAAAAATTTTATTATTTATGGAAATAATTGAATTCTTTTGGGAAATTTTATTAAATAATAGTAGATATTGAAAATAATTGAATTTCTTCGAAGATTCTCATTATTTGGTAAAATAATTGAATTCTTACGAAAAAAAATTTCTTAAAATTTTTCAAAATAATTGAATCGTTTTAAAGAAATTTAAAAGATTTTTGAATATAAACTTTTATTGCAATTATTAGCTGATTTAAAGCAGTGTAAATTCTAAAAAAAAAGAAAAAAAGTAGCTTTTAGTGTCAAAAATCTAAAAAAAAGTATACAAATAGTAGCAAATCGTAAAAAAAGTAGTAAATAATTAGTTTTAGTAGACGAGTGTGAAGCCTGCAATTTTAAACGAAATTGTAAAAAAAATTTTTGGAGCAGCTGAAATTTAACAACAATTAAAAGTAAATTTTCGAAAAGAAAAAATAACAAATGAAAGAATAGAGAAATGCAAGAATTTCTTGAAGGAGTCTTGGAATATAGATTTTTACAGTAAAAAGGAACGCCGCATCGATTGACGCCATTTTAGCCTTTCCCAAGCGTGGGCGCGTCCACCCGGGTCCATAGCCGGCGTCTCCACTTTGAAATTCAATTTTTGCTTTGTTCGACGAAAAAAAAACAAATCTTCTCTCAGAAAAAAAAATCTCTCCATTTAATTCTCGCTTTAAAGAAAAAATAAATGCCAAACATTTCAAAAGAAACAAAACAAACAATGCATTTCAATCTGAGATTTAAATGCAGCAGACAAGATTCTGGATGAACGCCATTTTATTGATTTTTTGTTTCGGGATGAAAAGAAAAGTCAAATACAACAAATTTTCTGATAAATAAGAGAATTTCAATTGAAAGAAGATTTGAATTTTTAAATAGTAAATAAAATAGAAGGAAGATATTATTAAAATGAAAAGTAATTTACCTGTCTTCCTGGGATTCTCCCTGACCATTTTCAGCGGCGTCCCTGGCGCCGTTCTCACCATCTCCGTTTTGTTCATAACTTTCATTGACGTCTTCGCTGAAATCCTTATTTTCTTGATTCGCCATTTTTTCTTATTAGTGAATTATTATTAATTGGAAAACACTAGGAATGTTTCTTTGGCGGGTAAATTATTTAAAAACACACTTAAAGTTATTATTTGAGATGTCTCGCGTCCTCACTGCTCGGCAATCGAAGGGAGAAGGGTGAGGGAGAGTTGCGACGCACTGGTTTTCAACAATGACGCTCTCCTCTGCGCTGGTCTGCGCGCTGTCAGTAAATTCTAGCATCTGCCCCCCACTACTTTTCAGCATAAAATACAATATGAATCGAAAATTGAGATTTAGGGAAATATTTTATGTACAGAGAAAATTTTGTTCCTTTACATTGGAAATTTTCTTTCTATAACTTTGAAACAAAGGTTTTGAATTGTAGGAAATTAAAATTATGTTCTGGAATTTTTTTTTCAATTTCCAAACGAAGTAAAAATTGCAGTAATATTGATTTATTTCAAATATTTTATATAATGTTAATTAAAAAAATAATGTGGCAACGTTGCTGAAATTTTTAGACGCTATAAGAACATCTGTTACAATTTTTTTTCAAATTAAAATTTTGAAAAAAAAATGATTGAAAATATATGAATAAAAAATTGAGATTCAGGAAAATATTTTTTGTATGGAGAGAAAATTTTGTTCCTTTACTTTGGAAATTTTTCTTTCTATAACTTTGAAACAAATAGGTTTTGAATTGTGAAATTAAAATTATATTCAAGAATTTTTTTTCACTTTTCAAACGAAATAAAAATTGCAGTAATATTGATTTATTTCAAATATTTTATATTAATGAAAGAAATAATGTGGCAACGTTGCTGAAATTTTTAGACGCTATCTGAACATCTGCTATAATTTCTTCTCAATTTTGAAACTATGGAAATTTATATTTATTTTCTTTTCAAATTGAAATTTTGAAAAAAAAATCATTGAAAACTTAAAAAATGAAAATTGCAGAAATATTGACAATTTATCTCAAATAGTTTCCATGATATTAAGACACAAAAATTAAATTTTATTTTCCCTGATTTCCAGACAAAATTTTGACTTTCTGACACAGAAGAATATTCTTATTCATTCTAAAAATGATTAGATACTTAAAAAAAATTTTCTACTGCATTTATTTACGAATTTATTTAATTATGAAATTATTTGAAAACACCAATAGTTTTATTTAAAATAAATCCATTTTTAAATCAATTTTGTTTAAATTCTACAAGAATTTAATTAAAATACAAAAATAGATAATTTCTTGAATAATTAAATGTTTCTCAAAATTGAATTATTATACAGAAATAATTGAATTCTTTCGACGAATTTTAAATTTTAATAAAATTTTTAAGAATAATTACATTTTTTTGAGGAATTCGATTAAAATTGTATTAATAATAATTAAAATTCAGCGACGAGATTATTTATTAGTTATGAGAATAATTCAATTTCTAAAAAGAATTTTATTATATATGAAAATAATTTAATCCCTGTAGAAATTTTTATTATTTATGAAAAAATAATTGAATTATTGCGAAGAAATTTACAAAAAAATTTGTAAATAATTTATTATATTCCTATGAAATTTTTATTATCTATGAAAATAATCAAATTTTTTCGTACAAATTTATTAAAATTTTATTTAAATAATTGAATTCTTTTGGAAAAACTTTATGAAAATGGTAGATGTTGAAAATCATTGAATTGAGGAAATTTTTGAAAATAATTGAAATTTTACCAAGAATTTTATTAAAATTTTTAAAAATAATTGAATTTCAGAGAAGAATTTTACTATTTATAAAGATAATTGAAATTTTGACGAGAATTTTTTTTTTTATTTTTGAACATAACTGAATTTCTGCGAAGAATTTAAAAATAATTAAATTATTTTGAGAAACTTTATTGGATATTATTATTTATGGAAAATTTTAAGAATTATTTTCAATAAAATTTCTGATTAAATTTATACAAACTTCAAATTTTCTAAAAGTCAAAATAATAGAAATTCTACAATGAAATTTATCAAAATTTTTAAGAATAATTGAATTCTGATATTTTAATAAAATTGTATTGAAAATAATTGGATTCTTGCAAAGAATTGAATATATTAAAAATTCTAACAAGAAATTTATAAAAAAAAACTTTTAGAATAAATTTATTCTTTCCAGAAATTTTATTAAAAACATAATTTATATTCTGCCAAAAAATTTATTAAAAATTTTAAAAACAATAATTATTGAATTCTTTCGAGAAATTTTTTTGAAAATCAATAAAAATTCAAATTTTCTAAAATTTAAAATTGAGGCCTTGGATCCAATAACTCGCCCGACGCTCGAAGGTATGCGCTAATACCAGTCGGGTAACAGTGAGTGGCCCAGAGGCGCTCACTGCTCACTGACTGGCAGTTACGCGTTCCTCCGAGCGTCGGGCGAGTTATTGGATCCAAGGCCTCAATTGTAACTTTTTGAAATTAATTTATTTATAAAAATTTTAAACTCAACTCTTTTAAAATTCAATTAATTTTGAAATATTTTAAGCAATTTTTGTAGACTCTTTTAGAAATTTTTTTTTAAAGATAACTAAACTTTATATTTAAAAATCACTTGGTCCGAATGTATAATTCGCTTCATCATTCTCCTAAAATTTCCAAAAAAATTAAGGAAACATTGAAAAGAAATATTGTTAAATCATTTTTTTATTTCCAAAATTATCACATGTTATACATGATTTATAAACAGAAATAACTATTTTTATTTTTTAGTTTTATTTTCATATTGTTTTGCAGCATTCATAAACTCGTTTAAAGTAATTCCGTCTACTCTAAACTCCTTAACTAATACATGATTCTTTAAATGTTGATCCAGTTCTTTGTTAAGTATCTTAAAAAAAATTATAAAATATTTTTAAAATAATTATACACATTTAATTAAGAATATGTATAATCATTGAGAATGTCAATTGGAACAAAAAATATTAAAAATTTCTTTAATTGAATGATTTGTTAATTTAAATTAATATTTACTATTAGTTATTTTTTTTAATAATAATAATAATAAAATGATAATAATTTAACACCCTTCAATAATTAGAATATTCATACATATATTTTAATATTTTATTCTTCAAGTTAAAGTATTTCTTACCTTCTTTTTTTCAGTGTTTGTTTTTTCCCCACTTGCATATTTTGACCCCTGATTTCTATAAAATTTATTTAAAACAAAAAAAATGTTGCCTTATAAATATTGAAATAGTAACAAATATTAATAATTATTGTCACTATACCGTAGATGTCTCATATGCAGTTACCGTCCACTTAAGCTCCAGTCTTAGTTCACTTTTATTTTAACAATAATAATTATAAAAAAATTATTTGTTTAAATCTGTAAAACTATATGTATATAATAATTTAACTCCAATATAGGTAACCTAACCATATTTAATTTAAAAACATAATTTACATAATTATACAAAAAATCTTAAAAAATAAACGGAAACTGCGCACTGAAAAAAAATTTATTTGACTCAAATGAACGATTAATTGTCTATTATCAAATAAATATTTCCTTATATCAAATAATTTTTATCTCGATTTTTATTTAAATGAAAAAAATTGATAAATCAAACTATTTTCTTTAAATATTGAAATTATTTTAATATTTAATATTAAGTAAAAATTATTTGATTCAAGTGAATATTTATTTCATAATAGACAAGTAATCGGTTATTTGAATCAAATAAATGTTCTTTTTTAGTGAGACATCCACGGTAATGAAATTATAAAAATTATAAAAAAATCTATTTATAATATAACAATTATAAATGAATCTATAAACATTTCTGTTATATTTTGAAATTTTTATATTTGGTAAAAAGTAAAAGTATATTATTTTAAATTACCTGCTTTTATCCGGTGATGACATTTTGGAAATTTTAATTATAATTTCAAGTTTAAGAGAAAAAAGAAACAATAAAACTATTTTTTTTTTAAACTTGTGGAACAAATTTAAAAAAATTAACAAGTGTCGATGATGAAGCACAACTGATCTCTGAATGCGTTCTTTAAGCGTTTTGACTCTTATAAGGCACAATATTTATTGTATATGAAATATATTTATCAAACATCCCTCCTTTTCTTCCATCGCTTATTGTATTACACGCTGATTACGATTATTATATAGGTTTAGGTATGACGAGAATTTCTTAGAAATTTTGAACATAACTGAATTTTTGCTAAGAATTTTATAACAATTAAATTCTTTTGAGAAACTTTATTGGAAATTATTATTTATGGAAAATTTTAAGAATTATTTTCAATAATATTTCTAATTAAATTCATTTAAACTTCAAATTTTCTAAAAGTCAAAATAATAGAAATTCTACAATAAAATTTATCAAAATTTTTAAGAATAATTGAATTTTGATATTTTATTAAAATATAATATTCAATTATTTTCAATACTATACTATTGAAAATATAATTGAATTCTTGCAAAGAATTGAATATATTAAAAATTCTAACAAGAAATTTATAAAAAACTTTTAGAATAAATTTATTTTTTCCAGAAATTTTATTAAAAAAGTAATTTATATTCTGACAAAAAAATTAAAAATTTTAAAAACAATTGAATTCTTTCGAGAACATTTTTTGAAAATTATTAAAAATTCAAATTTTCTAAAATTTTAAATTGCGCAATCTTTTGAAATTAATTTATTTATGAAAATAATAAACGCAATTCATTTAAAATTCAATTAATTTTGAAATATTTAAGTAAAATTTAAGGACTCTGAGAAAGTTTTTAAAGTAACTAAACCTTATTTAAAAACCACACTTTTGGTCCGAATATCTATAATATTCGTTTCATATAATTCTCCTAAAACTTCCAAAAAATTAAGGAAACATTGAAATGAAATATTGTTAAATCATTTTTTTATTTCCAAAATTATCACATGTTATACATGTTGTATAAACGAAAATAACTATTATTATTTTTTCGTTTTATTGTCATATTGTTTTGCAGCATTCATATCGTCTTTTACACTCATTGTGTACAGTACAAACTCCCCATCATTTGATGATATAATCTTAAAAAAAATTATAAAATATTTAAAAAATAATTATACACATTTAATTAAGAATATATAATTATTGAAAATGCTAATTGGAACAAAACAAAATAAAAAATTTCTTCAATTGAATGATTC